TCCAGTGATCTCCAGTAGCATACTGGGCACCTACCGACCTGGGGAGTTCTTTCAATATCTTATCTTTTTGCCTTTTAATATGGTTCATGGGGTTCTCAAGGCAAGAATACTGAAGTGGCTTGCCATTCCCTTCTCCAGTGGACAACATTCTGTCACATACCAAGGGAATATTTCATGCAAAGTTGAGTTCGATAAAGGACAGAAATGGTATGGACCTAACAGAAGCAGAAGATATTAGGAAGAGGTAGCAAGAATACATTGAAGAACTGTACAAAAAAGATCTTCATGACCGAGATAATCACGATGGTGTGATCACTCACACTGCCCTAGAGCCAGACATCCTGGAATGTGAAGTCAAGTGGGCCTTAGCAAGCATCACTACGAACAAAGCTAGTGGAGGTGATGGAATTGCAGTTGAGCTAGTTCAAAACCTGAAAGATGATGTTGTGAAAGTGCTGCACTCAATATGTCAGCAAATTTGGAAAACTCAGCGGTGGCCACAGGACTGGAAAAGGTCTTTCATTCCAATCCCAAAGAAAGGCAATGCAAAGAATGCTCAAACTACTGCACAATTGCACTCATCTCACACGCTAGTAAAGTAATGCTCAAAATTCTCCAAGCCAGGCTTCAGCAATACGTGAACCATGAACTTCCAGATATTCAAGCTGGTTTTAGAAAAGGCAGAGGAACCAGAGATCAAATTGCCAACATCCGCTGGATCATCAAAAAAGCAAGAGAGTTCCAGAAACACATCTATTTCTGCTTTATTGACTATGCCAAAGTCTTTGACTGTGTGGATCACAATAAATCGTGGAAAATTCTTTAAGAGATGGGAACACCAGACCACCTGACCTGCCGCTTGAGAAATCTGTATGCAGGTCAGGAAGCAACAGTTAGAACTGGACATGGAACAACAGACTGGTTCCAAATAGGAAAAGGAGTACGTCAAAGATATATATTGTCACCCTGCTTATTTAACTTCTATGCAGAGTACCTCATGAGAAACGCTGGGCTGGAGGAAGCACAGCTGGAATCAAGATTGCTGGGAGAAATATCAATAACCACAGATATGCAGATGCCACCACCCTTATGGCAGAAAGTGAAGAAGAACTAAAGAGCCTCTTGATGAAAGTGAAAGAGGAGAGTGAAAAAGTTGGCTTAAAGCTTAACATTCAGAAAACTAAGATCATGGCATCCAGTCCCATCACTTCATGGGAAATAGATGGGGAAACAGTGGAAACCGTGGCTGACTTTATTTTTCTGGGCTCCAAAATCACTGCAGGTGGTGATTGCAGCCATGAAATTAAAAGACGCTTACTCCTTGGAAGGAAAGTTATTACCAACCTAGACAGCATATTAAAAAGCAGAGACATTACCTTGTCAACAAAAGTCCGTCTAGTCAAGGCTATGGTTTTTCCAGTAGTCATGTATGTATGTGAAAGTTGGACTATAAAGAAAGCTGAGCACCAAAGAATTGATGCTTTTGAAGTGTGGTGTTGGAGAAGACTCTTGAGCATCTCTTGGACTGCAAGGAGATCCAACCAGTCCATCCTAAAGGAGATCAGTCCTGGGTGTTCATTGGAGGGACTGATGTTGAAGCTGAAACTCTAATACTTTGGCCACCTGATGTGAAGAGATGACTCATTTGAAAAGACCCTGATGCTGGGAAAGACTGAGGGCAGGAGGAGAAGGGGACATCAGAGGATGAGATGGTTGGATGGCATCACTGACTCGATGGACATGGGTTTGGGTGGACTCCAGGAGTTGGTGATGGACAGGGAGGCCTGGTGTGCTGTGGTTCATGGGGTCGCAAAGAGTCGGACATGACAGCGACTGAACTGAACTGATAGGTGTGGTGTTAAAGCGCATTACTAGTGAGTGTACAACTTGAAAAACTTTACATATGTAAACACCTATGGAACCACACCAGATTAAGGTCATAGAACATTTCCAGCACCCTGAAATTCCCTAATGCTCCTTTCTAGTCCGTTCCCCCTTCCAACCCAGCTAACCACTATCCAAACTTCTAACACCATCGTTGAAGTATATTGTCTTTGGTGTCTGGCTTCCTGTGCACATGACTTCCTCTTATACTAAAACAAGTTTTGAGAGACAGATAATACCATGTTTGGCAAATATGTGGGGAATCAGGTCCTCTCTTAAATTGTTGTTTGAAATGTAAGTTGATGAAGACTTCGACAAGTTTAAATTCATTTTTTATTATTTATTCATTAAACGTAAGTTTAGGACCCTACATCTAGGGTTGTAAAAGTGTAAAAACAATGGGCACAAAGATTTAGGTTGAAAGGCATATGTTTCTAACAGTGAAAAAACTAAAAGCAACAGAACCAATGTTGGATAAATATTGGTCTACTTATACTACATCACAATTAAAAATGTGAGATGGGCACATAAAATTTCAGTAACTTCCTAGCCATATTATGAAATTAAAAAAGAGGAAGACACAGAACAATATATACAGTCCATTTATGGTAAAAAGAAAAAAACAATTAGAGAGAAAAATGTCCCTGCAAAATGATGGGGAGGAAAATGAGGAAAAATAAAAGGTTCCTCAAATTTTGCCCTGTATTTTATGTCTCTGAATTGTTGCATTTTGGAAGACTTAAATAGTAAATATTATTTGTATAATTAAAACACAAACATAAAGGCAAAAAAATTAACTTTAAAAGATATGGAGAAAGAAGGCAATGAGGGTGCTAGGATACTAAACAACTTTTAATAGTTGTACCTTTGTTGGAGGTAGAAACAGATGAGGAAATGAGGTGGGAAAGGTCTTTTTTCTATCTTCACTTTATTTTTTTAAAACTTCAAGCATAGTACCTGATTTTTAAGCCAACGAGGTATATTTTGCAGATAAGTATAGAACATAGGGCTTCCCTGGTTAGTCAGATGGTAAAGAATCTACCTGTAATACAGGAGACTTGAGTTCAAGCCCTGTAAGAGGCAGATCCCTTGGAGCACGGAATGGCAACCCACTCCAATATTCCTACCTGGAAAATTCCATGAACAGAAGAGCCTGGAGCCTAGAGCAATAGCTGACCAGTCCAAAACCTTGTTTTGTTTTTCTGCTTTTTGTTTGTTTTTTTTGCTATCTAGGGCAGCTTGCAGGATCTTATTTCCTTGACTAGAGATGCAGCCTGGCTCCCCTGCACTGGAAGCACAGACCCAGGACAAGTCTCACTGTCCTCATTTTTATATTAAAAGTGTTTTGAATCATTGAATAATTTAAAAATATTTTGTATTCAAAACGTTAAAACAAGACGTGTACTTCAGAGTTTTGATGTGGTGGTGGGGTCGGCAGGAGGCCCCTGCCCCTTTCTTCGTTATTTTCAGGAGTGCAGAGCAGATGCTGTACAGACAAATGGAGTGAGGTTTCTTTGTGGGTTTCTGCGGTTAGGGAAGGGGCTGTGTTAAGGGAAGGTTGAAGGAGAAACTGGAGTCAGATAAATGGAGAGGGGTCTGGAACCCATGGGGTGCGCAGCCTATTCACGGGGATGTGGGGCAGAATTTAGCAAGGTGTGGGGACAAGTATAAAGCCTGGAGAGACGGTTGGGGGCTGTTTGTGCAAGGACTTCAAACGCCAAGGTAAGGACTTTGGGATGTATCCTCCTTAACCGTGTGTAGAGCACCAGTTCACCATTCAGCCTGTCTGTGCAATTCTCACAGGAAACCTATGGGAAGGTGGTCTTATTCTCCCCCTTTTGCAGTTAAGCAAACTACAGACTTTTTGAACAGGTGAACGACGGGAGAAAATTCCTTTAAATCATGTGTATATTCAATAGTCAGTGCTCAGTCTTTCAGTCTTTGGGACCCCATGGCCTCTGTCCTTGGAATTCTCCAGGCAAGAATACTGGCGTGTGCTGCCATTTCCTTCTGCAGGGGATCTGCCCGACTCAGGGATCGAACCTGCGCCTTCCGCGTCTCCTGCGTTGCAGGCGGACTTGTGTATATTCAGTAACAGCAACTAACTGTGCCCTAATAACAACTAGGTAACAAAAAATGGCACAAGTAGGGCAGATGCAGAACCCCGACGTCGCTACGGTGTAGTGTTATTCACGGTCGCCTCTTTCGGCGGCTAGTCGAGCTCCAGCATCTCTAAAAGCCAGAGGTCGACCTCTCAGCCTGCCCGGTGTTGCCCGCTTCGTCCCATTTAGGCCCAGGACCCCACAGATGGCTGTCAGTCCCACCAAACTTAGTGAGCTTGCTGAACGAGGAAACATCCAGAAGCAGACTCCATGACCCTTTCTGGCCAAGATTGCTGGCCCTGAAGCTTCCCTGTGCAGAAACTGCTCAAGCTGCTGCTGCTAAGTCGCTTCAGTCGCGTCCGACTCTGTGCGACTCCATAGACGGCAGCCCACCAGGCCCCCGTCCCTGGGATTCTCCAGGCAAGAGTACTGGAGTGGGGTGCCATTGCCTCCTCCGAAACTGCACAAGATGCTACTGAAAAGGGGCTTCAGAGGCCGCCATTTCGCTCTGGCCATTCCCAAGCCCATATCGTTGCGGCCCTATATTGCCCATGGACCTCCGCAACTGGGCCTTTCCCCTTCTTTTGTGTGGGCTAGGCAAAGCCCTGCTGTCCCGCGCTCCGAGAAAAACGTAAAATCAAATCTAGGAAGTAAAAACGCTGCCGCCCCCGGGGATGGGGGTGGGGCAGGGCGATAGGGGTGGGGGAGGGGAGGAGCCCAACGCCCCGCCCCCGCCCCTCGGAGCCTCCAGCGCCTCGGAACTACCAATCCCGCCGTGCCCCGGGGCGGCGCGGGCGCAGGGGCGCGTGCGCGCCGGGCAGCCGTTGGCTGGAGAGGCAGTTGCGCGGGTCGCGGTGCTGGGCGGTCTGGGGACGCTGGCAAATCGGGCCCAGGATGTAGAGTTGGCGGTGCCTGACGGCGCGTCTGACGCGGAGCTGGGTGGGGTAGAGAGTAGGGGGCGGTAGTCAGGGGTGGTGGGAGAAGGAGGAGGCGGCGGCGGTGAATCTTTTATAAATGGCGCCGAAGCAGGACCCGAAGCCTAAATTCCAGGAGGGTGAGTCTCACCCCCTGGGGACAAAGCATCTAACGGCCCGGAGAGGGAGGTGGTCTCGGTGCGGTTCAGATTTGGGGGCCGGGGATGGTGAGGGCCGTGCCCCGAGGAGCCGGCGGGCAGGGCTTTGTGCGGAGAAAGCGCATTGCGGCGAGGTTTTTCTGTGCGTCGTGAGGATAAAAACACTTTGGGAGGCGAAAGCATTAGGCAGGCATTAAGAGTGCGAGAGGGAGCCGTTGCCGCGTGGCACAGCTTTAGTGCTGTTTGTTGTTGAGAGGAAGAGGGCGCCGAGAAAGTAGCCTATTGTAGGGAGGCGGCGGGCGCGCCATGGCGGCCGTTAGGGGAAGTGATGTGGCGTGGGGGAGGGGAGGCGGCGGTGGCCGCCGTTTCAGGCGCCGTGCGGGGCTTCCCCGTCCGCGTGGGCGTCCGAGGGTTGGCACTCCGTGGCGACCATCGAGCCGCGAGCGAGTAGCTCGCGGTGGAGCCGCAGAGCAGCGGCAGGAGGGGGTTGGCTTCGCGTCTCGGGGCGGGAGAACTGCGTTGTAAGATGGCTGCTGCAAGATGGCGGGCCCATCGTGGCAGCCGGCGCCTGGGTCCCCGGCTCGCGGCCGCAAACGCCGCTTTAGGGCAGAGGAGCGCCCCCTTCTTCCCCCGCCGCCGATCTGGAACCGGTTTTTCGGCGCTGGCCCCGGGGAGGTGGGTGGGGATGAGAAAAAAGTGCGAGCGTCCGGGTCGGCTTTGTGTCGCCCGAAGGCATCCCTTTGCTCTCGGAAAAGCGTTGTCGGTGTCGTATGGGAACGTGAACGCGCTCTGGCTGCGCGGTGGCTTGTAAAGCCGTAATTAAAAACTGCCTTAATGTGGTGTTACGTCCTCATTTATGTGAAGTCCCGTTGCCTTGATGTCGGCCTTTTTAAGTACGGCAGTGGATTGGTTAATTGTAATAATTGATTAACAATGATTTGAAACTTGAGTTTTTATTGTCTCTGATCAATGTGTAGGCTGGCTGTAGAGAGCCTGATTTCCAGAGGAAGACAGCTCTGTAATTTCCACAGTTACCACATCTATTAATTTATATAGTGGAGGCTTAACAGTAAACTAAAGTGGACATAAAATTATGTAAGGCAAGCAAGAACACTTTAAAATACTCATTCACATTATTGTGGTTGTACGTGTTAGATACCATGGATGTCGAGACGTCTGCAAAAAATTGTAGGGATGTTCAAACTTTGATGTGCGTTAGAATTAGTTTGAGTCATACACACAAAACCCAAGCCTATTGTAACAGTATGGAATATTTAAAAGATTGCCGCGGGGGTTTTCCCTGTAACTGGCTTTTAATACCTGCTTTCTCTCACCCTGAGAAGCTCTTTGAAGATGACTGTGGATTGCTTTTTTTAAACCAGATGTTTTAGAGCAAGGATTCTTGATCTAGGGTGTTTATAATTCAGAGCACCCCTTGTACTTGGACAGGAAAAAGTTTTTTTCTATATTCGAACTAAAATTAACAGTTCAGTTATGATAGTAGATTTCCTCCCCCACAGAAAAGCAAAACAAGACCCTCCCACAGTAGTAGTAGCTGTAATTAAAGTTAGAGAAGATACATTGAGATGTAATGTATTCTTTTTGTTGTTTCAGAATTGTGGTGTAGTTCCCTGAATAAGCAGCTAAATGTTTATTGTATCAATTAAGAAGCTCATATAATACCATGACACACGTTTTAAGTGTTTTTATTTGTCTCAGTATAGTTCGTTTCTTTAGTAGTAGTTTTACATGTTTGTAGAAAAATTCTGAGAAAAGGCCCAAAGACTTAACCAGACTGAAGGGTCCATTGCACAAAAAAATTAATCCTCACTGTAGGACATCAAAGGAAAATGACACAGACTTGGGACAGTTAAGGATGGCTTGCTGGAGGAAGTGCTTTAGTTCTAAGCTAGAGGGGAAGGTAGACTGAAGGAGAGTCCATATGCTGCTGTAGCAGTGAATTGGAGAAGAGGGCGGCAGAGGATGAGATGGTTAGGTAGCATCACAGACTTCAGTGGACATGAATTTGTGCAAACTCTGGGAGGTAGTGAACAGGTAAGCCTGGCGGTGCTGCAGTCCTTGTGGTTGCAGAGTCGGACATGACCGAGCGACTGAACAACAAATGGAGCAAATGTACCTCTATGGTTTTGAAAGCTACCTAAGAGTCTTTGCAGACATGTTTTTTATTCCTGTGTCAAAGTTGAGTTGTATAACCATCTTTTAAGAAATTATTATTATTTTGGGGCTTCCCCGGTGACCCTAGTGATAGAGAATCCATCTGCCAGTGCAGGAGACGGGGAGAGCTAAGGGTTCTCTGCGTGGGTACGCTCCCCTGGAGAAGGAAAAGCTCCGCTCCAGTGTTCTTGTCTGGAAAATCTCCATAGACAGAGGAGCCTGGTGGGCTGCAGTCCATGGAGTTGCAAAGAGTTGGACAGGACTGAGTTATTTAGAAGAGAATATCTTGTAAGGAAAAAGGAATATTCTGTTGAAACTAGCAGAATTATATTAAAACACTGCGGAAGAATTGAGCTTCTGTGATGGTAAAAATATGAATGATGGTAAAGTTTTTTCCCTGATTCTTTTAAACTTGAAAATTTCTCCTGTTAAATAATTGTGCAACATATGTTACAGTCTTTTTTTCAGCACAGTGATTGTTCTGCACTGCACTTGATCTTCCACTTGAAATGTTAAAGCAGAAAGTAAAACTATTGGGCATCTAACCCGTGTGGTCGGGGGAGGGAAGGGGAGGGGAGGGGGAGGCCTTTTGGCTTGTCAGGAGAGTGGCTGATGCTGGAATTTGAGTAGTGTTCCTAGTAAGAAAACCAGTGAGAGGATGAGGAATTGGAATCTCATCACTTTTGAATTTGAGAGCATTGGGCAAAATTAGCTTTGCATTTTGAATACTATTAAGGATGGAGAAGTTCAAAAAAAGTGAGACAGTGGTTTGCTCCTTCCCCAATTAACAGTCTTTCCACTTGCAGGAGAAATTAGGCACTTGTTTTGCTGGGTCATACTCCTCAACTTACTGTATATTTCAGCGGGCTATTAGGGACAGGTAGCTAGAATGGAGGTCAAAGGGCCTTAGCCTCAGTGTGGTTGTCTTTGGTGGCAGCAACCAAAAGGAGGGAGACACTGGTAAGACTAGTTTCAGGGTGCCTTTGAAGAAAGACTAAAATTAGGCACACAGGTCTCCCATCTTTGGTGCTTCGGAGTAGACTCCACCCTCCTCTGTCCCTGTGGTCTCATTCTTGTCCATAGTATTCAGCAGTGGCTCCAGCCCAGCTTTCTCTTGAGCTCCAGACATATGTACTCAACTGCTTACTAGATGGCTCCAGCTTGGGTGTCCTGTAGCTACTGTAACTTATTCCAGAATTGATCTGAAACCCCTCTCCATTTCCTTTTCTGGATAATACTTCCACCATGCTGGAAGTCAAGTTTAAACTTTCTACTTTGGCTTAGCTGTCCTTCTCATCATACCTGTTTCTGTTCTTATTCCTGACTTTGACAGAAGTCACTGGTTTCCTGTTTCTGGTCTCCACTTAAGTTCGGCATAGACTTAGCATCAGGCAGTGGTTCCTCACAGTGGGCCACTGCACAAGAATTTATGTGTTTTCATCTGTGCTTTTGTGTTAATATTTCCTCAGCTTGGGCCCTTTCCTTTGACAGGTTGGAAGCATAGAATAGGTAGAGCAGAAGGTTCTAAACTTAAAATTTCTTTAAATCTCAGATGTACATTGAAAAATAAATCAACCCTGTCAGTAGATAGCTATAGTAGATTTTATTTGCTTAGCAGGTGATAGATGATTTGGTGATTTAAATAGATTGATATCCTAATTGTTTTTGTTTCCATCAAATGCCGAGGTGTTTTTTTGTTTTGAAATTCCATCTGAAGTGTTTATGTATACATTCCCTTATCCACTTGCTTGTTAGTTTTTTGAGGAACACCATAGTACAAGGGTGACGGCTCTCCCAGATGTCAATATTATTATATATGAAGAGAAACCACAACTAATGCAGTGCTCTTTCCCTGTTTTTTCCTTTTACAGGTGAGAGAGTGCTGTGCTTTCATGGGCCTCTTCTGTATGAAGCAAAGGTACAAAACCCGTTTTCTTTTAAGAAGTTAGTTGAAACTACTGGTTTGATAGTTGAAACTACTGGTTTGATAATTAGATTTCAGTGATGGGTAGCTTTAGTGAGAGGTACTTTTTTCATAGATTTTCAGGTTCATAGTTCCTCATCTTCTTTATCGTTGATTCATAGTTCCTCATCTTCTTTATCGTTGATTCACTGCTTCTTCAGCGGTTCACATAAAGCATCCTGCCATTCATGTTACCGATCTGCTAAAGGCAAGTAGTTGGAAAGTGAACAGAAAGGTAGAGGTTTGACTATGGAAACAAAATAGCATTGTTAGTTAATGACTTATGAGAAAATACTGCCAAAGTCAATTTTATTGGCAAATATAATATGCTGAGTAAGCACTGAGTAAAATTATGTTGAGGGTAAAGCTAACATTTCAAATGAGTACATTTAACTTTTGTTAGTTTTGTCTGGCAAAGTTTGAATCTTGGGGCATTCCTTTTCTGTGTATCAGTGTTGCACTGAGGTTATAAACAACTAATTTTACATTTAAACAAAGATAAATTGGATGATGCATTAATGTTTTTAGTGTCTTGTTTCTGTTAACTTAGCACAAATGTTTAAGCTGTGTCAACTATTTTTGACAATTGTTTTTAAAATAAATGGTAAAGGCACTTTCTATGTATGTTCTTGGTGAATACTTTTTGTCTGTGAAAAAGTCTTTAACAGTTGTAAAGTGTCAATGTTGCTAACCATTTTACTTATTTTGAATACATAATAGGTATATGTTTTTAAAGTTCTAAAATGACTGAAATTGGATTTCTGAGATGGTCAAGAACTTCATATATGTGTACATATATCTTAATGGATAATACCAATACAGTTAATAAATGTGTTTTAAGTCCTAGTGATCATTTCTGTTGCTGAATGTTGTTTCTGTTGTTAACTAGTTTCTAGCAGGCTCTCCTAAACTGGCAGCTTTTTCTGCTCTGGCAGCAAAAACACACCAGGGAACAATTTCAAATCGCAGTTGGAGTAACTTAAACTATTGTGGTTCTCTTGGTTTGCCTCTGATAAAATTTTTTAAAATCCAAAACCAGATAGTCATCACCTTTTCATGGTTAATGACTTCCACTAATCAGTTTTAATTTGTTTGGCTGCTTTTAAGAAGAACACGGGGCTTCCCAGGTGGCACTAGTAGTAAAGAAGCTGCCTGCCAATGCAGGAGACATAAGAGGTACAGGTTCAATCCCTGGGTTGAGAAGACCCCCTGGAGAAGGGCATGCCAACCCACTGCAGTATTCTTCCGTGGAGAATCCCACAGACAGGAGCCTGGCGGGCTGTGATCCACAGGGTTGCGAAGAGTTGGACACAACTGAAGTGACTTAGTACGCAAGAAGACAAGATGTTAAAAGAAAAAAAAGAAAAAAGATGTTTTTCATCTGTCACTCAGTTGCTGATAATCTGCAGCAGAATAGTTTATTGCCTTGTGTAAACTGATGAGCTTTTAAAATAATGTGGTGTAAATGTTTTTCTTGAGCTGAATTTGTTTATCCAAATGTAGCTTTTGACTAGCCGGACTTTGAGAAAGCACAACTACAGCTTTCATTAGCTATTCTTGGATAGCCTATCTAGCCCACCAATTTAAGGTTTAGGGTCACCTTCAGTGCTTATGGTTCTTTAGATTTGTTGGACTAACCCCCAACAAATGACTTTTAACTGTTTGGCAGTGTAACTTTGAATACTAGTCTAAAGGCTTAAATAGTGTTCAAGAGTCTCATCAGGTTTTTCTTGGCCACCAAACAGTTTCAGTGTTGGATAGTTCAAAATTACCCAGGTAGTCTTTTTTTTTTTTCCTTCATTATTTCTAAATACATTTGTTTCTTTTTTATTTCAGTGTGTAAAAGTTGCCATAAAGGATAAACAGGTCAAATACTTCATCCATTACAGTGGTTGGAATAAAAAGTGAGTATTAGATTTTTTTTAAAGCAATTTTTATTTATAATTAACAGGTTGGCTTTGTGTCATAAACTGATAGAAGCCTGTGCTTTTTAATTCTTGTACAGTTTTACTGTAAGTACATGTTGGGGCAAAGGTGAACTGTTTGTAATATGTTGAAATATAATAGAAATTAGGCTTTACTGCCATTTTGTTTTACATTCTGTGGCCTATTTCTTGTGTTCTGGTATAATGTCTAATATTCATTAGCCGGACTATTTTCTAGTTTTGGTACGTTTTAGGATAGCTTGAGTTTTTTTTTCTTATAACACAGACTTAGTGACTACAAATGGTATTTCAAGCAGTTACACTCAAAACTAGTATTTTTCTACTAAGGAAGGGAGAAAAGATTTAAAAATTGCTTTATTTGATTGGATGTATTGACCAAATCATGTTTTGAACTTTGAAAGCATAATTATATACTAACAGTGAATTCATGTAGTTCACTTTTAGCATATGGTTTAACACAGGTACAGAAATGTAATTACAGAACCCAGTTTTCTACTCTGAAGAGCTTTTTTTTTTTTAAAAATAAAAGCAGTGATGTATTGATGTTGCTGGGGATGAACAGTGGTTGCAGACTGAACACATTCTAGAATATTCAGCCTGTGGAGTTCTGTCAGTGATGGGTATTTCTTCTTGGATCTCACAAATACCACATCTGATAATTGACACATTTTTGGTGCTTGTAATTGAATAGCTTGTAATATTTAGTCTGAGAGGTTTTTAATTTTACTAATGGTGTTTGTCCTTCAAAGATAGCACTGCCAAAAAGTAGTTCTCGAGGTTTTTTTTTAAAGCTTTACGCCAGCTCGGCCATGCCATCTGATTTGATGCACACTCTTGTTTTGGAAGGTTTTTTGACGTTTACTGACTGTTCTTTCACACCGTCCCTTAGCCAGTGACCAACTCAGTTAATTTTATTAGTTAGAAGATTTTTTCACAAGATAGTTCTAGCTAAGAAATAGCATCAGATCTTTGTCTTTTTTCCGTTAGTATAACTGTAGAAAAGTGGAAATCTAAAGTGTATAGAAGCACATTCAATAAGTTGGTTTTTCTTCCAGTTAATAATTAAAATATTCCTAGTAGTGATGGTAATATAGTAACTCAAAGTGATCCTGTGAGCTTTTAATCCCTTCGGTCTTAACAGAAGTAAACTTGTCTCTGATTTTAAATGGGGTTTCGGGATTAATACTAAATTGATTCAGATATCCAGGAACGTTTGTCTTCTGGATCTCCATTATTTTACAGCTTTCCCTTCCCTTTAAAAAAAAATGTTGAAACTGTGTCTTTCATTACACTTAGGTTTTATGTAAAAATATCCTGGTAAAGTTGAGAGTGTATTAGATATCATGAAAATCTTAATTCTGTATAGGAAAGCAAATATTTATGCATATCATGAATGGGAACTTTAAAGGAAATAAAAGAAAAACAAATAGCAGATTCATGGACTAGATCTGTGCCCCATCCCCAGGTACACTTTCAGATAATTTAGGATTACATCTTAATAGCTGTAGACACAACTTTTGTGCTTAACTTTTTCATGTATAGTATTTTCTATTAAATTCCTTGTAGATGTGTGCAGCTTCAAGACTGGGTTTTAAATGACATTTCCAACTTAAAATTGTGGAGATACATAAAAAGCTTGTATTTTTTGATAATATTGCCTGAATATGTTTTTTCCTTTGTTATATTACCTAGTAACAAATAAATGATAGGCTGCATGATTTTTTGTGTCTTTGTAGAGGATGTGTTTTTTGTAGTTGTCTTGGAATGTAGATAAATATATGTAATTTGTAATACTGATCTTTAATGAGGGGCCTTTAAATCTGTACAGAATGTTTTTTATTTAGTGCCGTGTAAGTTAATGCCATGGATCATTGTGACTTTGGGAATTAATGACAAGCTACCTTTAGAAAGTTCTGAAATTCTTTTGTTTGAGCTGTATGGAAGAATTTCTGGATGTTAGGCCACCCCCCCCCCCCCATAGTGATGTTCCTCAGAGCAAAAGACATCATTTTCCTGTGGGTCAGCAACTGTTTTCAGCGCCTGGCATGTAAAAAACTCTGAAATGGACTTTTGTTTTTAGATCAGTGTTCTTATTTAGATGCATTTTTTATGAGAAAAGGAATTTTCACGGTTCTCAAATGGAACTTTCTAGTAAATAAAAATTTGCTAACTCCCTTTAGAGAGAATAGGAACAGATAGAACTAGCAGTAGGAATAAGATCCTCGATTTTGAAAATGGTTTATAAGATACCATGCTTTTAGAAAAGACTACGATGGAAGCCCAATCTGCAAATTGGAATTTTCTTAAACTTCAGTAAATATATACTTCTTCAAAAGCACAGTAGATACTCGATTTGTTGACACAGACATTTAAATATTCCACTTGTAAATAAATCTTAATAAAGCGTAAGCAGAATTCTACACCTAGTTACTGAGATTACTTTGTACTATGCTGTCTGTATCAGAAGTGCTGTGAGGCCCAGGCGCTCTGAAAAAACTTTGAAGACACATGAGGATATTGTAGCCCTTTTTCCTGTTCCTGAAGGAGCTCCCTCAGTACACCACCCCTTCCTGACCTCTAGGTAAATGCATGTTTTAAAGTTTTCTCTAGGAAATCATGTTGAGGGTTGCTTTTTATTATTTATTATTCTTTTGGCTACCTTGCATAAGAGGTCAAAGGTGGGAAATCATTAAATACAATGTGTATTTAATACACATTGAGGATACACATAGAGGATACAATCTAATTGTGTCACTAAAGGAGCTCCATCAGGAGGAGGAAAAAAATTACTTTGCACAAAAATTTCAGCACTGCCTAGGAAATGTCCTGTCTTTTTCTCTTTGTGGAAAAAAGCCACATCAGAAGTCTTGTTTTGAACGAGATCCTACTGTGTAGCACAGGGAACTATATTCAATATCTCATGATAAACCATAATGGTAAAAATTATGAAAGGAGTGTGTGTGTAATGTATTATAGAATCAATACGCTGTATAGTAATTAATATAAGTCAGTTTCATATCAAAATAATTTTTTTTAAAAATCTCGTTTTGAAGCTTTTCTGAGTGCCAGAATGCTTTAGCAACTAGATATTTTTAAGAGAGTGGATGGTTCTGCCTTTTGATGTTTAGAAAGCCAAGAAGATTTTGCCTTGGAAATTAGTAAATTCATTTGTGAGTGAGTGATAACCATTGTAACACTTCAGTCTTAAGTGAGTTGATGTAGGTGGTATTGTTTTGTAGACCTTCTAGTATGTTTCTCATGGAGCTTGAGTGTTTTTATCTTTTATGCATCAAAACTCTCAAGTATTTTATATTTATTATTTAATTCTCGTAACAGTCCTGTGAGATAGATGGATGTTTATCCCCATTATACAGGTGAAACTAAGGCACAGTGAGTTTTGAAATTTTGTAACAGAGAAAACCAGCTGGTTTTAGTTCTTTGTTTTGTTTTGTTTTGTTTTAGTGCTTTAAGAAGTCATTTTATGGTGCTTTTTTTTGTTTGTTTGTTTTTCAGGTGCCTTTATTCTGTAAGGACAATTACTTAGGGGCTCTTAGGTTATGTGCTGTTATATGCTGTACTCTTAAGCCATTTTAAACAAACGATTTGGATAATCTTTTGGACTCTGGCACTTTCGATTTGGGGTATTGCTTCTGAGAATGTTTATATTACCATTTTACAGAACAGATTTTCTCTAGACTTTCAGTCTAGTTGAGAATGGATTTGTAATGCCAGTTCTTCAACTTAGTTCAGAGAAGTCCAAACTCTTGCCTCTTGGATTTAAAAGAAAAAATTGTAGAACAGAGTCTGTATACTAATGAAATATTTTTGAATGATATTTTGATTTTTCTCTTTCAGTTGGGATGAATGGGTTCCGGAAAGCAGAGTACTCAAGTATGTGGATACCAATTTACAAAAACAGAGAGAACTTCAAAAAGCCAATCAGTAAGTTTGTTTGCAACCTGAATAGGAGGAGAAATGGCTGTAAGTTAGTTTATGGAAATGGAATCCACAGCAGAAATCATGTTGGCTGCCTGCTTTTAAAATGATTCATGGTACCTGTCAGCTGCTGTTAGGATTTTGACCTCAAGTGATCAGAGAGGCCTTTTGTAGCCTTTTTACTCTTCCTTTCTTGAATTAATTTTTGTAAATGTGTTATCTCTTTGTCCAACTTGTTTAATAAAAATTTTGTACCAGAATATGTATAGCCTTGGAACTTCAATTTGAATATAAATTTCAAAATGGAATCAAGCTATCAACTTATTTTTCTATATAAATATTTTATGATGATATATCATTGAAATTATTTTTGAAGGGAGCAGTATGCAGAGGGGAAGATGCGAGGGGCTGCCCCTGGAAAGAAGACTGCTGGGCTACAACAAAAAAATATTGAAGTGTAAGAAGGTCTTTAATTTTACACACTGTGAAATTCATGCTTGATACACACTATCTATTAGAATTTTTTGAAAGTGGAAACTGGAACGTTGTTGTGATTTGAAAAATGCCAATGAGAATCCCACTGGTATTGGGTTATTGAAACTACATACTGATTACATATTGATTCTTTAATTTTCCTTAGCAATTTTTTTTGCCACTTAACTCATTTTTAAGTGTACAGTTGGGTGGCATTAAGTACATAACCAACCCCTCCTTTGTTTAATCTTTACTTTTTTGGCCTTACTGGGTGGCATGTGGGATCTTAGTTCCCTGATCAGGTTATCACACTCTTGCCCTGTGTAACTGAAGTGTGGGGTCTTAACAGCTGAACCACCAGGAAAGTCCCTTACAATCATTCAAATTAGAACAAACGTGTGCACGTAGTGTGTTTTTCTTTTACAAGCATTAGCATTGGATTCTCAAGACACAAGTTTTGAGATTTGAGGGGTAGATTTGCTTTTTCAGTATCTTTTTCCTTGAGATTAGATTCTATTGCTTTTAGACCATGACTAGTCTGACTTTACTACCTAAAAATTAAATGACAGTATTGAAGATAACTATGCATTTTGAAATGTTTGCAGTTTTATTTTTTGGGATAAGAAGATAATTAGGCAAGGATTAATGAATTTGGCAAGATAATTGATTTGGTAAGAAGATGATTGATTGATTTGGCAAGGATTACTATTTGAGATTGATTCATAACTTTATTTGTTAATAAGTAGTAACATACTTCCCTGATCCTTAAAGTAAACACAGGTAATTAACATACATTAATACTAAAACTGTAGAAAAGCAAACACATTCAGGTGTAATGTGATGGTCCCTCCAGGCATAATCTATAATCATGGCTTTATAAACTTTTTCCCTTGTGCTCTAGAAATAATTAGATATTATGTCAGGATTAGTAATTTACTGTTGGTGCATATATAAATAGCCATGAGATAAATTACTGTTAGACATAATAGTCTAGATACAAGCTTTGTTCTGAGTGGGTAAGCAGAGTGTTTAGTGTTGTAAAGAAAGTAATGTAGCTTCGAGAATTAAAGTGAAACAGAATTTGACCAGTGAGAGTGGAATAATGCGAAACATAGTAAGTCTGACGTCAAATTTTGCTGGTTCCAAAGTAATTGAGGAAAATATTTTTCTTTGGAGCTTTCTTGTGTTTGTCGAACTAATAGTCTTACGAAGCAGGTTCTCTTTAATATAATTTACATGCTATAAACTTACTAATAGACATAAATGATAAAACCCTGGGAGAAGATCTCATGATAGATGGTTTTGATTTTTCTGCTGGTTTTGATTTTTCTGCTCTCTAGAGGGAGATGTGGATTGAACCAGCTATCAGTAAAGAAGCCCTTAAGTCTTGAGTAGTAAATAAGAATATGCAGGAAATAAGATCAGGCAAAGATCACTGCCTGATCTTACCATCAAGGCAGTATTTCTCTATGGACTCAACCTGGTAGAAGGGAATTTAAATTAGAAACAATAGCGACAGTTAGCTTTTTTCTTTTTTCCTTTCAGGAAAACGAAAAAGAACAAACAAAAGAGTAAGTATATTAACTGTTTGAATTAACTATTCTGCCTTTATAACACTTGCATTTTGAATTCATTGTTAAATTTTAAGTTACGAAGTTTTAGAGTAATCTTATGTTGATGGTCTCATGAGTCACAGCAGTGTTACAGAGTTAGGTACATAGCCATAGAGAACTGACATTCTTTCTACTGTGGAGAAACATAAGCATTTATTGTATTTGTGTTCTTTAATGACTGACCCTGAGATAATTATATTTTAAAAATACATGGTAATATTAAATATTGCTTTGAACTAGATGTTTGGTAGAGCTATTCATGAGAGGTATACTTTTGGTAGGAATATGATTTTTCAATGTAGATTTTAGTAATATCTATGTAATGGAAGGGTCAAGGAGTAAAGAGTTACTCATTAAGCTAACAATCTCCCTTCCTTACCCCTCAATTTTTACAGCACCTGGAAATGGAGATGGTGGCAGCACTAGTGAAACACCTCAGCCTCCTCGAAAGAAAAGGGCTCGAGTAGATCCTACTGTTGAAAATGTGAGTTTTTCCTTAAATTTGTGTTATTAATAGCATGATAGAATTTTTAGTCTGTCCTATTATTGCACTGATAAAATAGTCCTAGAACTTTTGAGTCTCTCAGAAGCATTGCTATAGCATGCTTTAGTTACTGAGGTGAAAATATTCTCCCTTTTAAGATAAAGGATATATTTGTATACATCTTTATTTCATATGTTGCACTAGATGTATTCCTTCCAGGTTTTACCCCAACTCATCATCAAATGTTCGTTTTAAGCCCTATGCTCTTGTATAAGGCTAAATAGTTCTTTGGTATTAAGATTGAATTGACTTCCTAGGTCACATTAAATTGATTTACTGATTTAATAAACCCACAAAAAAATGCCAAGAAAGCCTATCAGTTTCATGTGTATGTGTGTGGGTATAATAGTTTAGAGTTTTTACATAAGTGAATTATATGTCTAATTTATTATATTTGTAATCTCCAGAGTTATGAATTTGAAGAGAGGTTTTAAAAGTGTAACTGACGATTTACGTTTCTGAAGCTGAGGTTAAAACACTGGTATGTTCTTAAAATTAGACATTTTTAGGCAGTTACTGACAAGTTAGAAGATATATTTAATCTTATATATTAAAGATGTAACTTTAAGATAGTCGTGTTTGGGCTTCATTATTGGAGATGTGGCTATTCGAATTGATTAAATTTTGAAAATACTAAGTTAAAATGCAGCAAGTTGGAGAGACCATTTATAGAAGAAGGGAAATTTGTTTAAAAAAAAAATGCCTTCACATGAAAAGGCATCAAGTAGACTATCAAGATTCTTTTCTCCCAGGAGTTAATCTGTATGATTTTAACTCATTTTACTATTTCCAAGTGACAGTTCCAGCTGTCCGTTTGAGTAAAGAATTTATCCCAAGTGCCTCTAAAGTTTCAGAAAAGCTTTTAGAAAACTCTTAGAGCTGTTCCTCAGCTAGAAAGAACAGTGTTTGGTACTCTCCTTTTTGTTTAGGAGGAAACATTTATGAGCAGAGTTGAAGTTAAAGTCAAGATTCCTGAAGAACTGAAGCCATGGCTTGTTGATGACTGGGACTTAATTACCCGGCAAAAACAGGTAACTTGGTGTTACACAGATGGTAATCTATATGATAATGATTTTGCTAGTGTAAAATTTTTTTTCTAAAGGAAAAGGCTGTAGACTTTCGTAGACATCGAAGGTATGACTGATGGGAATTTTAATTCAGGGACTAGACTGAGCACTTTGATTATCAGAAAGGACTGGGAGAAGAATAAGCAAGATACATGTACAAAAGACCATGCGTTTACAGTTACTTTTATAAAGGTTTAGATAACTGTTGGCAGTGGCTAGGACACGAATACATCATTCTGAAAATTGGTTAAAAAAAGAACCATTTTATTTCCTGCTTAATATCATTGAAAGTGGGACATAGTCACATACAGTGCTGCTGATGGAATGTAGAAATAGGAAGCACACAACTACTACCTGCAGGTATTTGTGATTTCCAAAAGAACCTGAATCTGATCAAGCTCCTAGGTTTTCATTACAAGTGTACAGGAAAGAGAGACGTTGTGATGTATGTATGTAACGTCACAATGGTACAGCCACCAAAGTCCAGAGTGAGGCACTCTGTAGGACAGAAGAATCAATTTCTTAAAATAGCACAACCAGGGATAGGGGAGAAATGGGTACTGTGTGGGATAGGCACCAGTCATAGGCTGTGCAATGTGTGGACTTTGATCCTTGATCTGACTCTTGAAACTAAATGGCTAGGTTTAGCTCCGTTCTCCCACGTTGTGTTTGGCAGCTTTTTGTGTTTTAGTTTTTACATTTAATGAAACACTGGGTCCCAACCTTTATGTGAATATTAAGCTAAGTGTTTCAGGCAGAATGATACGTGGTGACTTGGTAACGCGTCAGAGGTGAGTTTATGTGCAGGTGTACTCCACGCGTAGTGAGTGTGTCTGTCCAGTGTGGCAGCCACTGCATTTGGCTGTTAAATTTTTAGTTCCTCAGCCACATGATTCATGTTTCAAGTGCTGAACAGTGCCCTTTTCTTTTTGGTAATACTATTAGGTGATCTTTTAGTGCATTAAAACTTTTCCAGTGTACTTTCTCTTTGAAAAAGAATGTTAGTATTCAAGTATATTTTTGTTTTCAAAGCTCTTCTATCTTCCCGCCAAGAAGAACGTGGATTCCATCCTAGAGGATTATGCAAATTACAAGAAATCACGAGGAAACACAGATAATAAGTAAGAAAATACATACATCTTTGAAGTATACTAAAGACATTTTAAACATTATTTCTGAATAAATTATCTGAAACATGTACTTTAAAACAATACCATCAGAAACTAGCCAGGTAGAATTTCATTGCTTAGACATAAGGTTTAGCTGGTAGACATTTATTAAAGGCCCAAGTCAGTAAATGTTCCAGGTGACATTGAAAAAGCTATTCTAAGTAACTATGTATATAACCATTTAAAATACAACTGTTTGAAAATGTGAAAACTAAAATCCATCCCTAACCGGTGTGTTGTAGTGTGCTCACCAGTGGTTTGTTTCTTTGAATTAATTTCTTACCTCTTATTAAATCTCTCTTGTGTTTAGCAGAGGTTCATTGTCATTGGTTTAGCATTTTACCCTCATGTTGATTGACTGAATCTTCATCTCTCAGTTCATTCAGTGACCTGCTCTGAAGATAGATACTTTTGTTCCCTTGTCAGGGAGTATGCAGTCAATGAGGTTGTGGCTGGGATAAAGGAATACTTCAATGTGATGTTGGGCACTCAACTGCTCTACAAATTTGAGAGGCCGCAGTACGCTGAGATCCTTGCAGACCACCCTGATGCACCCATGTCCCAGGTGTACGGGGCGCCACATCTCCTGAGACTGTTTGGTAATGACCCCTTTTAGAAAATAGTTTTACTTTCTCGCCTGGGGACTTTGGTATCCTGATTTATATTAAGGGGTAACATAAAATAACATTCTAAAAGACTGTTTAATTCCCATTTGAACTTCTGTTCATATAAAAATATAAAGTCAGTTTCTAAAATCATATGCTTTAAGGAAATTAGTGATGGTTGCGTTTGCTCACATAATTAAAGTATGTGCTCATAATGCTACCTTGGATGTAACTTTGACTTCATTTTTTTTAAATAGTACGAATTGGAGCAATGTTGGCCTATACACCTCTGGATGAGAAGAGCCTTGCTTTATTACTGAATTATCTTCACGATTTCCTAAAGTAAGTCTAAAAATTAATGCTTGAAATTAAAAACATGAATTTGTTTAGTGTACTGCAAATTATTCTTGATAGATTGGCACTGTAGATACTGTAATAGAACTAAAGTAAAACAGTGTATGTTTAGCATAGTTAAAAATGTCTCCTGTTATTTTGGGGATGAACTAGGGATGGCTTATATTTTTGGGAAAATGGAAAGTGCAATCCTGGTTTTTACAGTTTTCTGGAGGGCATTTGTTAATATATATAAGCGTTTTAAATGACTGGCAGTTAGGCTTCTGGAAACTTGTCCTATAGAAATACTTAATATGCACAAAGATCTCCACGCATGTTTATTAAATTGCTATTCATGGATAAGGTACGTTTACAAATACTGATCAAGAAAGATGTCCGTGGTGTGTCAATTTAAAAAAATTAGATTGCAATTGAGTTTGGTATGATTCCTCTCTTTTTCTACAAAAAAAAAGTGAATCTACCAGTGATGAATATTCTCTCTCTTCCCCCAATTTTTTTTATTTTTTTTTATTTTTTTTCCCCCAATTTCTTTATGAAATAAAAGTGCTCTACTACTTGACATTTTAGGGCCCTTTGATTTTTATGGTGTTACTTTCAAGTTGAGATTTACTTGTCAACTTCTGAATCTGTAGTATGATGGATTTCAAAAGAGCTAAAGACATCTTAGCTCTTAACTCTTTCAGGGTGATGATACCTGTTAAGGGTGGGCCAAGCACTCAGGTTGGTATTCTAGTGACTCCTGTTTTTGCTTCTTTGAAATAAGGGGAGTAACTCTATAGACTTCCTTTTTTTTTTTTTATGCATTGTCTGGTATGTAACCCTATTTATCTGAGCTGTAATTACATGGTTGTGATATGTATTTTAAAGTGCTTTGTGTGGCTTCTGTATGTAATTGATAAGAGATTAGGATCAAAATACAATTCTTTTTCATACTTGTAATGGATAACATTTCGTTTTTAGATACCTGGCAAAGAACTCTGCAACTTTGTTTAGTGCCAGTGATTATGAAGTGGCTCCCCCTGAGTACCATCGGAAAGCCGTGTGAGGCACGTGCACCCACCCATGTTTGATCTCTGTAAACACCTTTTTGTTTCTTAGTCCTTCTCTTGTACAAACAATGTACTTTGGAAATGTTCGTGTATAACAAAATTGATGTTTGTTTTCTGTTTGATTTTAAACAGAGAAAATAAAAGGAGTTACAGCTCCTTTTCTTTCCCTTTTTTTCATTTCAAAGTTGCTACCAGTGTATTCAGTGATGGACAACAGAGAGACATAACTGTAGAGTGTTTATTGCTTCGTTGACAAAGCTGCTTTTGAATGCTGGTGGTTTCTATTCCTTTGACACTACGCACTTTTATAATATGTGTTAATGCTATATGACAGAATGCTCTGATTCCTAGTGCCAAAGGTTCAATTCAGTGTATATAACTGAACACTCATCCATTTGTGCTCCCCCTTTTTTTTATGGTGCTTAAAGAGCCCATCCTTTGCGAGTCATCCATCCATGTTGTTCCTTAGGCATTTTATCTTTGCTCAGATTGTTGAAGAACGGTGGCTTGTTTCATGGTTTTTGTATTTGTGTCTAATGCACGTTTTAACATGATAGACGCAATGCATTGTGTAGCTACAGTTTTCTGGAAAAGTTAATCTTTTAGAAATTGTTTTTCAGATCTTCAATAAATTTTTTCTTTAAATTTCAAGGAGCAGTGTACTTGCGTGGATGCATTACAGAACCTTTGTATGTTGTGTGTGTCTGCTCGTGTTCAGTGATTTTTCTTTGAGGCGAGTGATTGTCTTGTTTTCTGTGGGATGAGAAGTTTGGCTTCCTGATCTGTCTTTAGTTAATCTACCTTCATCTGCCAGAGCAGCTTTGGTTGTCTGCTCTCTTAAGTTCTGGCTGAAAAGTTAGACTATAATGACTATTTCTCTACTTTTCATGGAATGTAAATTTTGAGCATTGAGGGAGTTTTTAGCTGTGTGACAGCTAGTCTTTTGCTAATTGTTTGAGGTGTTTACCAACATTATTCACAGTGCCTAAAATTTGAGCTCCTTCCCCCAACTTAAATACAGACCTCCTGGAGAGGGTTTGACGTGTGTTTCCTTGACCTCCCTCACCTTTGTTCTGTGGAAGTTCTTGAAGTTAAAGTAATCTCATCTCTGCTTCTAGGAGCATCCCATAATTTCCTTTCTGTTCCCCTGTACAGTCCATCCTGCCCCAGTGCCCAGGTATTCTTGGGAATGGTTACAAACCATAGAATCTACTGGCCAGAAGCTGGACTCTGAAGCAGAGAGCTGGGCTCAGAGCTGTTTTTATTCTTTCCCAGCTGTGTGACTGTCACTCACTGTCTGAGGCTCAGTCTGTTTTTGTCTGAGAGATGAGGTTGACGACATACCAGATGGTGGTTATGTACTGTTGACAGATGAGTTGTCATTGTGATGAAGGAGAATGCTGTACTTAGTTGTTCAGTCATGTTTGACTCTTTGACCTCATGGACTGTAGCCTGCCAAACTCTTCTGTCCATGGATTCTCCCGAAAAGAGCACTGGAGAGGGCTGCCATGCCCTCCTTGATGAAGAATAGCTCTCATTTTACCCTGGTTGTCCTGGGACAGAATCAGCTCTGGAATCTTTTTCCCTCTTTTTGTGGCTTGGCAAAAAGATGGCTCAGCAGATGTGACTTTGCTCAAAGGAAGAACAGGCTGAGACCGGATGCTGAATTGCAGAGGTTCCCCCCTGCTGACAAGGCCACCTCATTGGCCTGGAAGCACCACTGTCAACACAGATGCCTCGAGGTTCCCAGTCCTGCCCCATCTACATGGAACCCCTCGGTGCTTACCCTCAGCGTCCCCTGGTGAGTCGGGAAACCTTAGAAGGTTGGCACCTTTGCTAGTTCGAGGTTTTCCTGTCACCTAAGCAGGTTAGAGGTGTGTGTGGGTGTCCAGAATGCCTCTGCATGTGAGCTTTGAACTGTCACTTGCACAGTAACCTCACGTTTTCTTTTACCCATCGGAGACTTCATTGTCCAGGGGAGCAGGGAGATCCTCTGCCAGCAGGCTCAGCATGGGGTTCACACATCTGTTTTCAAAGTTTTCGCAACTTGTTTTCTTAACATTCAATCCCACAAGAAAGTTGCCATAGTAGTAGTGAGTACTTCTTGTGTGCTCTTTACCTCTTGTGTCTTTGTCACATTTTTGTGCACACATGCACTCCACAGAAAATCACTTTTATTTCTTTGAATCATTTGAAAGTAAAAATAATTGCATTTATAAGTCTCAGTGCAAGATCCTGTGTGAGAAAGGCTGGACTAGAGATTTCATTATACACTAATTTATTGGAGGGGGAGGAGATGGAGAGGGTTAACAATATTCTCTGTCCAGAAATAGGGCACTGTTACTTGTGAAAAAGATAAGCCAGATCAAGTTCACACTGATCTAGGAGCCAAATATTAAGCTAATTGGTTGAACTCAAGAGGGTTTTAAATGCTCATATGCAGTGAAGAGTACTGGGGAGCCTCCCTTCTGTCTTTCTCTGGGAAACCCTCAGAATAAGTAGAAGGGAGCAGGACCTCTTCAGGGGGTTCACAGGAGGGGGACAGATACATAGGTCATGTAAACTTCCCAAATAGCTTTGGGGAAAAAACACAACTCCTTAAATACAATTCTAAGGGGAAGCTTCTTTATCCATAGAATAGTAAGAGGTGTTGCCAACTAGTGTGACCCACTTGGGCAGTTTTGGGAAGGAGAGCTGTGCCTCCCTCACTCCCCTATAACCCATGAACATGGCTTTCATATTTGTCTTGATTTGTCCAAAGTGACAAGAAGGTCATTATTCCAGCTGACTGACCCCTCCATCATGCTCAGGTCGCTCTGAAGTCCACTGTGTGCCCTGACCCCTGCACCCCTGTGTTTGTAGCGCAGCCTGGGGGGAAAGCAGGTGGGTCAAGTGCCCCCTTGGCTGTGAGATCGAGCAATAAAGCAGATACTGTATCTTAGTCCCTACAATGCCTTTGCTTATTTCTTAGCTCAACACTGGAATTGGAGAGGGATGCAGTTAACAGCCCCAGGACTTTAGTTACAAAGATGTATGTGCCTTATTGAAGGAAAGTTGACCCAGATTGACGGTTTTGATTCTTCTTCACAACCATTCCAAGTTAACTTCTGTTAGCCATGTGGTGCAGGTCCTCCTGTATCTTTTCCTGTGTACAGACGGATATGTCTTGAGTTTCACTGGAGCCAGGGCCGAGGGGACAGATGAGCCCAGAGGGGACCCTGCCATCCTGTGGTCTTGATAAGCCAGTTGTCAGATGGCCATGCAGGGGGGTTGCCAGGCTGGGCTGGTCCCAGCACCCTCAGGAGAATCTGGTTTGGGAAAGGTGCAAAAAAACCCAAACTGAAATAGTCTAAGTATTGCTTTATTCATGTTGCAACACTTAAATGTTGAGAATAAATAGAAAAGTAGGAATTGAAAATGAGGAAGAAGAAATGAAAGATGGGTGAATGGCCTCAGAAGAACAGATGGATTGTGCTTTGTCACGCAGCCTTGGGGGAGACTGGAGAGTAGCTGAGCCTGGGGGGATGTCTCCTGCCCCCCGGGAGGAGTTGGGGTGGAGGTGGGCCTCAGGGTGTTGGGTCTGGGAGTGACGGACAAACCTGAGGGCTGGTGTGTCCTTTATCTGATGTTCTCTAGCATGAAGTTAACCATGGGCAGAGCCGTAGCTCTGATCTGAGCTTGTCGTCCTGTGGGTCTGGTAGTGGTGGCATTATGGTGGTATTGATGTCCCCACTGTCCCCACCCCGTCCCACCCCTTTGGTGAGGATACACAGGAAAGACCACATGCTTTCCACCATGTGCACGGGTAGGAGACTGCCCTCTGCTTTTATTCAGGGACCAGATCATCCTACCTTTCCTGGTGCCAGAGCTGGAGACACAAAGATGCCCCTACGGGCGGGTTGGTCTGGGACCCCAGAGGTTCCTGGTAGGACCTGTGTTACCAGCTTGGGACATGCTCTTTCATCTTTACTTTTCCAGTGATGCTCAAGCCTTTATGAATAAGTGATGAATCTCACATCAATGCCTTCCTCTTAGATCACCCATTGCCTGAATGTCAAGAGAATTCCAAGGGTCAGTTCTTACCAAGCTGGACTGGGACACCAGAAAATGAGGCATGCACGCTCACTGTGGTGATCACAAGTGTCGCTGATGAGAGTCCGCTGGCCTGCCTGCACCTGGGGACACATGCGTAGGGCTGCGGGGCCACCCCACTCTGGGCCCTGGAGCTGCGCCCCTTGGCTGTCACTGGTTCAGCCTTCCCTCCCTGGAGCAGGACATCTGCCAGGGTCCTTGGGGGCTTCTGTCAGCTGTTCCCTTGGACCTGTTGATTCTAATCTGGGCCAGCCACCAGGGTCTCTCTGCCATTCTCCGGGGGAGGGGAGGGCGCGGGGCGGTGGTGGTGTCCCCTTCAGGGTCTTTCCTGCCATATGCCTGCTTCAGGGCCATCCCAGACTACCCCCATGGTTGCCCCCAACTTCATCCTCCGGTTTCCTGTGCAGACTGGTCCACCCTGCCCCCTGGAATCCAGACAGAGGCAGTCTTTGCTGAACCTCAGTCTCTGCTAAACCTCACACAGCAAACCCCTTTCCCCACCTGGAATAGCTTGCTGCTCTTAATCTCACATAGTCATAGCCAAGGGATTCTCCCATAATAGTGAACATCTGTTCTCTGTCTCTAGCTTAGACTCAAATTCTCTTATCACTTCATGTTAGAATAGTCACTTTAATGTGTTAAATATATATATACCAAGAATCATAGAAAGTAGATGGTACTACCCTTCACATACCCCCTTGTATTAATACCAGCCAGCATCCCTACATGAGAAAAGGGCCACTCAGTGGGGTAGTTGGAGGAGAGTTTACGAAATGCTTGTCTGCCAAGGAGGGAGAAACTGAGTGGAGTTAGGTGACTGAAGCCCCAGCACGGAGCCTGGCCTGCAGCAGGTGCTTAATCATGAGGTACTGATCTGCACAGGTGAAACCTTCACAACAGCTGCACATGAGACCTGGCGGGGTGGTTCTTGGCTATCTTCAGAGAGGCGAAAAAGGTGACTTGGTTGGAAGCCTGTGGGCTTGTGAATGTAGCTCCCAGACCTGACTTGAACGCTTGGGAAAATGAGTGGAGATAACCCTCTTGTGAGCACTAAGGGCCAGATGTGACACTGGCTCCTACAAATGCCCCCTGAGTTATCTCACTCACCAACAGACATGTTCTTGTGGGGAGAGGCCTTGTTTACTTAATGGTGGCAAGCGTGGGCCCTGGTGTTCCACAGTTCATGTGTCTTGACGTTTCTAGGTTTTGAGTACACACAGACATACTTGTCTGAACATAGCCTACTGCATTCATCAGGGTGGTTTTAATTGCAAATGATAGTTGTAACTCAGAACTAGCTCAGAGTTTATTGGCTTATGTAACTGAGAACTCTGGAAAGGCTTCAGGCATTGATCCAGATGCTTAAACCGTTTTCTCTGGAATATTTCATCCCTTGACCCCGTTTTCCTCTATTTTTGGCTTTTTGGCATTTTCACATTTCAGCAGAGTGGCCAAACAGGAGGCTGTAAGTTATGTCTTAGTAACTTGGTCACCCAGGGAAGAGGCCCCACTCCGCCCTGCCCTTCTTTTTTGGCTTAAAGCGCCACACACACATTTGTTATTGACAGTTTGGGAGGTCACTCTCACTGAAATAAGTTTTCAGCAGGCTGCATTCATTCTGGCACCTCTAGGGAAGAATGCGTTTCCAAACCCTCTTGTTTTTTAACTTGAAGCATAATCGACCTGTATTAGACTTAACACTGTGTTAGTTCCAGATGTACAGCAGGCTGATATAATATTTTTAAATGTTACAAAGTGATCACCAGAAGAGCCTTTTTGATGCTTCCCACAAAATCCCACATTCATTGCTTCTGACTGACCCATCTTGAGCCCTGTGCTGCTCCCTGGACCAGTCACCATGGCTGGGAGGCTGAAGCGTGTCATCCACAGGCCTAGGCCACATGGTTCTGGGGAGGGGGCGTGGGTGAAGACAAGTATCCTTCCAGTAAAACCTCAGGGACTCTCAGGGGTACAGGAGGTCATACAGGAGCCTGTCACTCTCGGGGTTTTCCAGATTCACTGGTGTGGCGTGTCCCTCCTCTCACCTCCCAGACTCGACTCCCTGCCAGCATAGAGGCCTCCACACAGAGCTGCCCTGCCGTGCTCTCTGCCTCTCCGGAGCTCTTGACATCTTCTGCCCTTTACGTGGAATGCCTTCACTATTCAGCTCAGCGCAGAACTCATCTCTGAAGGGCCTGGTTTCTTGGGTGCAGAGCTAGTGCCTAGCTACATGGGTAGCTTCCCTTGGAAATCCCAGACAACACACAATCCTAGACAGGCTTTTTTTTAAGAAGAAACAATTCAGGGACTTCTTTGGTGGTTCAGTGGTTAGAACTCTGCACTTCCACTGCAGGGGGCACTGGTTTAATCCCTGGTTGGGGAACTGAGATCCCACATGCCATTTGGTGCAGCCGAAAAGAAATTCACATACCGTAAAATTGACTCTAAAAGTATAAAACTGGATTTACCAGCTTTGGACATCGTAGGTGGATGGAATCACACAACGTGTGGTCTTCCACTGACACAGTGTAGCGTTTCTGAAGTTTATCCCTGTGGTAGCCTGTATCAGAACTTCTTCCCTTTTATGTTTGAACAACATTCCGTCATACGCACAGACCACATTTTCTTCATTTCTGTCAGATGATGAATGTGGTTATTTCCCCATTTGGGTAATTATGAATACAGTTGCTGTAAATGACACAAAAGCTTTTTTTTTTTTTTCCTTTTGCTGTCCATGCAGCATGCAGGATCTTCATTCCCCCACCAAGGCTTGAACTCACGACCCTGCACTGGGAGTGCAGTCTTAACCACTGAACCGCCAGGGAAGTCTGGAAAGCTTTTCTCGTTAGGAAAATGTGACCTGTAGGACAACAGCACCAACTCATGCTGCAGACCCTGCTCCCCAGGGGCCAGAGGCTCCACAGCTACATGTTGGGTTGAGACCACACTTTCTCTAAAGAGAAGGGATGGTGGATGTGGCAGGAGGATCAGGGGAAGGAAGGGGCTGGTGAGGGAGACATGAGGGGCATCCCAAGGGGCGGGGCAGGCGAACGGGGAGCAGGAAGCTGAGCATGGGGAAGCCATGTGGAGAGTAAGGCCTCCTAACCGATGCTGTGGGTTGAAGTCACGCTCTGCCAGAGCCTGGCGTATTTCCTCCTCCCTCCCCAGATACTCAAAGCATCAAGCAAAACCTGTTCTTTCATCCAGGGCCCCCACCTGGGAGACAGCTGCACCAGCACCCTTACATGCCATCCTTCCAGCCAGAGAGCCAGCCACCCCTGGGTGCCTCCCTCTTAGGAGACTGGGCCTGGAGACAGACCCAGACCCCAGCCCACAGCACAGACCTGGCTCAGGAGGTGCCCACTGTAGGTTTATTAAAGACCACAGAAGAGACAGTGGAACTTCTCCCCAATATGAAACACAGCCCTTCTGGGAAGAAAGAATACTCCTTGTCCACAAGGGGTTGATCAGTGAGAAACCACATGTAAGGCACACGGCTGGTGGTGACCTCTGTGGCAGAAGATGTGGGCAGGCTTGTTGCGCCGTAGGATTCACCTCCCAGTTTTCTCTCGGTTTCTAGGTGTAGCGTGGGGGTGAGGTGCAGAGTGCAGGGCCTCGGGTTGGGGGTGGTCTCTCAACATGTCCTCCAGGGCAGGATCTTGGGCCCCCGACTGCCTGGTCCTCGCTTTCTCCACCGACCCGTCATTGCCGCCGGGAATCACACCAGGGGGATGGGGAAGGAGGCACAGGCCGCAAGGCCGCACATGTTCTTCCCGCGCTCAATGAGGAAGTACCTGGGCAGAGGGAGGGGCTGAGGCCTGGCCAAGATCTGACTCCAGGGGCTAGGCCCTCCCATTTATTCACAAAAGAGTAGCGCCGGTTTACTGGTCTCCAGGAAACCTCTGACTTGGCCACCACTTGGCCACTCTCCCATTATTCTGTCCCTGCTTCAGTTCTCTCCAGGATCTCCTGAGGGCCCCGTTCTCAGCCTTGCCTAGCTGGCCTCATGTTGGGGACCCCTCCTCAGATGAGGACATCAAGTCTGAGACTTGGAGAGACACAAAGTCACATTGAGATACGTCCCCAGGCCACCTGATTGCATCCTCTTCTAGAAGGAGGGGCTGTCTACCATTGGTAAATTTGTTCCTCTAGTTTCTCTCCCTCAGGGCCTCCTAGACATGGCTGAATCCCAGCTGGGCCCTGTGTTGTGGACTGTCTCCTAGCGGTGGTCACAGAACCCACTGAGCCAAACGGACTCCTGTGCCTGGATACACAGTCATAATCTGGGGTCTGGGATGGGAGAGGGGCTGCTGGAGGGTTCTTGGGGGGTGTGAGGGATACATCCTCAAATTCCCCTCTTTCTGGCCTGGGCTAAGCCTCCATTGAGCAGCCCCTTCTCGGAAGCCACACTGAGACGGAGGAGACACACACCCTCCCTCCCACCGAGGGCCCCCCCAGACCTGGGCAGTCAACGTCTCCCTCTCGGCACATGGGACCTAGAAGCTGCTTACCCCTTCATTCCCCATTGGGGGCCCCAAGAGTTCTTCACGATCCAGTAGGGTATCCCTTTCTCTTCTCCGTACCCAACAGCCAACACTGCGTGGTTTACTTTATCTGGAGTCTTATGACAGGAAGTACTGGAAAAGGAAAATAAATAAAGGCTTGAAAATATGGAAAGGGTGGGATTTCTCTGGTAGTCCAGTGGTTGAGACGCTGTGCTTCCAATGCAAGGGGTGTGGGTTTGATCCCTGATCGGGAACCTAAGATCCCACATGCCACGTGGACAAAAAAAGGATGAAAGGATAAAAGGTGATTCAGTCACACCCAACAAGTGATTTAGAGCAGTGTTTTCCAGAGTGGGGACTGGGAGGCACTGAAGGTGCTGAGTTAACGTTGGTTTAGTCACAGGGCAGGAGAAGTGTTCTCTTCAGCCCCTTGGGTTCTGTTGACCCAAAGGAGCGAGATGTAGCATGGAGCTGGCTGGGCCTTGACACCTGATGCTTTCCAATACCGCTCACATTACCAGGAGTGAGCTGCCCCCCTCTGCACCTTCTGAGGGCAGCAGTGTCCAGCTAGAGCTTCACATGACACTGCTTTGTTGCCACTGTATTTAATTTTTACGATTACTCTGTATTTAGATCAACTATACAGGCTTCTCATTTAAGATAGTGAACTAGTTCTCATGAGGAAATTCTGAGAATTTCAAGCAGATGAGCTGCAGTGGTCATGCAATCATTAAACCGATATGTAACTGAGCTGTTGACATGTGTCAGGCCTGAGGCAAGGTGTGGGACACCAGCAGCTGTGCTCCTGGATTTAGGAAGCTCCCTTTGGCAAGGAGCAGGTGGGCAAAGAGGCTGGTTCTATACAGTGACAACTGGGGAGCTGACAAGAGCCCAAGGGAAGCAGACCCGACCAAGTGGGAACAGAATGGGCAGGGTGTGGGGGCAAGGAAGGCCTCCCTGGGAAGGTGGGTGCTCAGTGGAGTAGAAAATGGCACCCTGCTCTGGTATTCTTGCCTGGGAAATTCCATGGGCAGAGGAGCAGGGTGGAACAGGGAGGACGTGGGTGGCTCTGATGGGATTTGAACTTGGAGAAAGAAGGACAGATGCTAGAGGCTCCCCGAGCCAAGCTAAGACGTGAGACAATGGGTGTGTGTGTGTGCAGAAGTGGTGTGGCGAGAAGGGTGTTCAGAAGCTGACTGGCTCCGGGTGAAGGGTGGGCCATTAGTCGGGGCACAGGAACAAAGCAGTAAGGAGGCAATGGTGAGGAGAGATGCAGGGAGAGAGGACATGTTTCTGAGCAGTGATCATGCAGCAGCCTCTGATGAGGGGGAGGGGACAGGCAGGATCTGAGGTCCCTCTGGGCTGTCCAGCTTCATGTGGTGGGGAGGCCCTTGCCTCTCGGGGTCTAATGCTCAAGAGACCCGCTAGCGGAAGGGGGCCTGGAGACTCAGCAAACAGCTGGCCGTGGAGTTCAAGGCATGTGTGAGAAGACAGCAGAGGAGAAAGTCCTGGAACACACTCGCGTTTAGGACCGGCCAGACTGCAATTGAGGCCATTAGGGAGACGCCGGGCAGCGACCGGAAGTGGCTGCACTCACTCTCATTGTAAAACAGGCAAGAGGAATGGATGAGAGGAAGCCCACGCTAGAGAACTCCTTGATGACCCTTCAGCACGGGATTCTGGCATCTGGGAGCAGCTTCTTTCCCTTCCCTGTTTCATATCTTCACAGCTTTGAACACGGGTGTTCATCACCAGAGGCAGCTTGTCTGCTGAGTGAGGCGGAGCTCTGGGTTCAAACGGGGGCCCCAGACCTGCTGTGTGATTCTCCTCCCCAACTGGGGGACCCTCAGGGCTGCAGGGCGATGTGATAGGCCAGCAAACGTGGCATGGGTGGCGAAATGGTTAGGCTCGGAGTGAGTCCCGGGCCCGGCCATGGGGAGCTCACCTGCCCCTCCTTCCCTGAGGATGCTGGGGTCCTGCTCACCTGGAGAAGATGCCCTTTCTGTACATCATAAAGTCAGCAGTCACCTCGAAGGCGAAGCTCACGGGGTTGTATAGGGCCACCGCCTCTACCATCGCCTCCTCGTCGTTCTGGGGACAGAGGGGCAGACAGGTGGACACACTGGTCTCTGCCACTTCTCCACCCGACGTGAGAAATGTGGCCCTTTGCCCCAAAGTAGGTAACAGAGGCACAGAGGAAGGAAGAGAAGGGTGTTTTAGACCAAAAAGCTGCCATCAAAGGGGAACTGCCCTTCCTTATAAGTAGAGCCTGCCCTGGACACTGGGGGCTGGTGTGGGGTCCCCTGCCAGGTGGTGCAGTGGTAAAAAACCTGCCTGCCAGTGCAGGAGATGAAAGAGACACAGGTTCGATCTGAGTTGGGAAGATTCCCTGGAGGAGGAATTGGCAACCCACACCAGTACTCTTATCTGGAAAATCCCATGGACAGAAGAGCCTGGTGGGCTACAGTCCATAAGGTTGCAAAGAGTCAGACACGGCAGTGATTAAGCACAGCACAGCCCTCTTGTGCGTGAATGGCCAGGATCCTTTGTTTTTTCTTTTTCTTTTTTTCCTTTGTGTTTTCTATTTGCTTACAGCTCCTCCCCCAAAACCCTGGCTCCCCTATGACCTCCCTGGACCTTGCTGGGCCTCCCTGCTTCACTCTAAGAGAATCCCGCACCCTTTGGGTTTGAGCCCAGGGTGCAGTGGGGACTCATTCACTCACTCACTCATGATCACATGCCACGGCCCTCCCGTGTGCCAGAGGCTTCCCGGGGTGCAGAGGTGAGTGGGACTCCCCTGTTCCCATCCCCAGGACCCCTGCGCCCACAAATCTAGTCCAAGGAGCTTTCATTGTTGTTTTTGGTAGAACACGGGTTAGAAGTCCGTGAGCAGACAAGGCTCAGATGGTGGTAGAAACAAGACCTGGCAAAGGACTGTGTGCCCGAGAAGGACTCAGCCCCGTCAGTGTGGGGTCGGGTGGGGCAGGGGGAGGAAGTCTGGGGCCTCCTGGGGCCGCAGCTTTGCTGCAGACAGCCATGGTTGGAGCTGCCTGTGCTTGTGCTCAGTCTCTCAGTGGCGTTGGACTCTCTGCGACCCCCTGGACTGTGACCTACACTGGTGCGGGTGACCATTTCCTCCTTCAGGGGATCTTCCCAACCCAAGGCTCGAAACCGAGTCTCCCGCACTGGCAGGTGAATTCTTCACCACTGCGCCACCTGGGAAGCCCCTAGAATTACCTGGGGGGCTTTAAAAAATCCCAGTGCCCAAGCTGCCCCCCAGACAATAATGTTAGCATCTCTGGGGTGGGTCAAAGGCAGGAGGATTTCTTAAAGCATCTGTTCTGGGAACCACTGGGTTACCATGAGCTGAGGAGGCCATTTTCCTGGCTAGAGACCTTGGGGAGTTGAAATAAGGAAGAGCTGAGGCCAGGGCTCTGCTGAAGGAGGGGCAGGCTGAAGAGGTTGGGGTACCAGCCTTCCTCAGTCCTCTCTCCCTGGAGAAGGGGCAGAGACCTGGCTGCAAAGGGCAAATGACTGCCTGGAAAGCAAGCTGCTTCCTTCTCTGTGCTCAGCAAAGGCCTTGTCAGGGCTGGTGAGACCAGGAAGGCCTGCCCACCAAGAGGCAGTGGGCGTCATGGGGCTGGCCATTCCCATGGCCAAGGAGGGCTGGATGCCCATGCTGGCCTGTTCCTCAGGGTCTGCACGTGTCACAGACAAGTTTCTCTTGGGCACCAGGCAAAAGGGATTGGATTGACCACCAATCCACCTCTTAATGGGCTTCAAATGGGCCAGAGTGGGTCAGACCCTGGGGAGTGTGTCTAAGAGAAACCGGCTGTTATCTCAAGATAAATGTATCATAGTCAGAAACATCCCAATTAAAGGTTCTGGAATGCCATGACCTCTGTTTCAATCCAGCTTACACTTCTAGTTCTGCAGCCCTGGTCAAGTTACTTAACCACTCTGAACCTTTCTTTATCTATAAAATGAAGGCAATAATGACCCTTATCTCCTAAGGCTGTCTTGAGTCTACAGGAAATAACACAAGTTAAGTGGTTAGTACACTCCTTATGGCAGAAAGCAAAGAGGAACTAAAGAGCATCTTGATGAACGTGAAAGAGGAGACTGAAAAAGCTGGCTTAAAACTCGACATTCAAAAAATGAAGATCATGGCATCTGGTCCCATCACTTCATGGCAAATAGATGGGGAAACAATGGAAATAGTGACAGGCTTTATTTTCTTGGACTCTAAAGTCACTGCAGATGGTGACTACAGCCATGAAATTAAAAGACACTTGCTCCTTGGGAAAAAAGCTATGACCAATTTGGACGCATATTCAAAACCAGAGACATAATTTGTCAACAAAGGTCCATCTAGTCAAAGCTATGGTTTTTCCAGTAGTCATGTAGGGATGTGAGAGTTGGACTATAAAGAAAGCTGATCACTGAAGAATTGATGCTTTTGAACTGTGGTGTTGGAGAAGGCTCTTGAGAGTCCCTTGGACTGCAAGATCAAACCAGTCAATCCTAAAGGAAATCAACTCTGAATATCCATTGGAAGGACAGATGCTGAGGCTGAAACTCCAAAACTTTGGCCACCTGATGTGAAGAATTGACTCATTTGCAAAGACCCTGATGCTAGGAAAGATTGAGGGCAGGAGGAGAAGGGGATGACAGAGGATGAGATGGCTGGATGGCACCACTGATTCGAAGGACATGAGTTTAAGCAAGCTCCAGGAGTTGGTGATGGACAAGGAAGCCTGGCGTGCTGTAGTCTATGGGGTGGCAGAGTCGGACACATCTGAGCAACTGAACTGAAGTGAACACTCCATAAACTGCCTGTTTACTACTAGTGCCGACTGCCTGGCACATACTTCAATTAGATGGAAGCTACTGTTGGGACTTCCCTAGTGGCCCAGTGGTTAAGAATCCATCTGCCAATGCAGGGGACATGGGTTCAATCCCTGGTTCAGGAAGATAACACATGCCATGGAGCAATTAAGCCCAATGCACCACAACTACAGAGTTTGTGTGCTGCACAAACTACACAACTGCAGAGTTTCTGTACTGAAGCTCGTGTACCTAGAGCCTGTGCTTCATAACAAGAGAAGCCACTTCAGTGAGAAGCCCGTGCACCACAACAAAGAATAGCCCCCACTCACTGAAACTGGAGAAAGCCTGCGCGCAGCAATGAAGACGCAGTGCAGCCAAACGTGAATTTGGGGAAAAAAAAAAGTGAACCAGACTCATAGCCACAGATTCATATATATCATTTCACTGTTAAGTACAAGTAATCTTTGAGTGACTGTAATTTAAAGTGTTTAATATCGGGACTTCCTTGGTCATCCAGTAGTTAAGAATCCGCCATCTAACACAGGGGACACAAGTTCAGTCCATGGTCCCACGTGCCACGGAGCAACGAAAACTAAGCCCGAGCACCACAACTGCTGAGCCCACATACTGCAACTATTGAAGCCCATGCTCTGCAATAAGAGAAGCCACTGCAACGAGAGAAAGCCAGTGTGCAGCAATGAAGGCCCAGTGCAGCCAAAAATTAAAAATAAGAAAGAATGAAGACTTGTGCAGACTTGGGCCAGGACCAGAGCACCTGACCGCCGACTCCTGCTCTGTCCCTTCCGACTTACACCCTGTTGCCATCACGGTGACTGACATTCATTGATAATCAAAAACTTTTCAATCAAAGGGATGTGCTGCCCAGAAAGGCTGCCATGCCATGCCCCTTGGCAACTGACAGCAGTGGAGGCTGCCACCTGATCAGGACGTGTTCCCCATCGCAGAGAAGGGTTGGTACTCACCAGTGTGATGTTGGCTACATCCTTGACAAATGCAATGGCCTTACTGGGCTGGTACTTGCAGTCACCGTCCTGTTCGGGGGGCAAAGGTCATGGGATACAGGTTGGGGATGCTCACCCCGCCCTCGCCACCCCGTGCAATTTGATACCATTGACAAAGCAAAAGCTACAGGTACCAGGACTTGGGTGAGGGGGATCACTTAGGAGAGAATCAGAGGCATCCTTGTCCCTGAGGACATTACAGTCCAGTGGGAGGAGACTGTACTGGCTTTGGCAGAGGTGGGCTCGAGTGGCCCCTGGTGGGAGCACGAGGAAGGGGCCTGACCCAGTCCAAGGAGGCTTGCCGAGAGAAGGAACCAAGTAAGAGCCTGCACGGCAGGGGAGGGAAGGCCAGTCTCAGTCCAGGGAAGATGACCAAGAGGCAGGACACATGCAGGGAAGAGCAAGCCCCTCTGAGACGGAGAGACAGTCAGGATGACAATGCAGGACCTGAAGTTTAGGAAGTAGCAAGCGGTTGGGTGGGAGCGGAAGGTTTCCAAGGGGAGAGTGAAGTCGAAGACAAGACTGGGCAGACAGATTTGGGCAGAGGGACTTGGAAGTCAGGCTGGAGACTCTGGAGTTTATCTTGCAGGCCCTGGGAAGCCTTTGAAGAGTTCTGAACTGATTGTACTCAGAGCTTGGTCTGAGAGGCCACTCTGGCAGCCCCTGGGGTAGGGTGGTCCCAGGACAGACCACCCTCAGGGATCCAGGATGAAGGAGGACCAAGGGCTAGGTGGGGAAGGGACACAGGACAGACCAAGGAGCAGAAGCAAGAAGGTCTCTGTGGGGGGAGGGTCTGGGCAGGGGGACTGCCCTGAGAAAGGGACACAGGTAGCCAAGAGGTTTTCGGAACAGGTGGTGCCTCCCATTGTTGGGAGGGGAAACACCAGAGGAGAGTCCTGGGTTTGGGGGAAAGTCAGGGTGCCCAGCCGTGCACAGGTGGGGCTGAGGTGAGAGCAGGGGAGTCCCTGGGCCCAGGAGCACTGCCGCACGGACACAGAGTGTAGAAGCCCATAGATGGCACTCCGGTGCACCCTCAGCAGAAGGTGCGGGCCAGGCCATGAGCAGAGACGGTGCTGCCATGGACAGGGCGAAGAGGCCCCAGGACAGCTGAGCACTGGAGCTCAGATGATCAGAGGAGGCGAAGGAGTGAACTTGAAGAGACAGCACTGAGGATTCAGGAGGGAGTAGGAGTCTTCAAGAGGGTGCATGGGAGGGGTGTGTCCTGAGGCTGGGAGAAGAACAGAAATGGGGGCCCTGCAGACTAAGAAGATGGAGCCCAGGCTAGGAGAACAAAGATGGGGGGAACGCAGGTGGGCCCTGCAGACCAAGAAGATGGAGCCCAGGCTGGGAGAACAGAGATGGAGCGCCCTGCAGACCAAGAAGATGGAGCCCAGGCTGGGAGCACAGAGATGGAGTGCCCTGCAGACCAAGAAGTAGAGCCCAGGCTGCCCGAGTTACCTGGCCCCTGTAGGGGTAGGTGTCTTCACCCATGATGCCCTTGTTGTACCGGATGTACTCGAAGGCCTGGCTGGGGAGACCCCTGCAAGAAGCACACACAGCTGTGCCTACCTGGGACCGGCCCCGATAGAGGTAGGGCCTGCAGGGGCTGGGGCATGCCAGACGTCTGCCCTGGCGGGGCTGGAGGGCTGTGGTAGTGATTTCAGCCCTGAGTCCCAGGATGAGCCTGAGCGTGGTTCCCTGCAGGAGACCCCTGTGCTGGCTGCTGCTGAAGCAGGACTCACCTGGGAGAGGGCTGGGCTGCTGGGAGGGGGCGGGAGGCAAGGCTGGGAGCCTGCTCTGGGGGAACATGAGGGGCCTGGCTTTATACCTGTGTGCACAGGAAAGGTCTTAGAGCACTGCACATGAGGAGATGAGGGCTGGAGACACTGGGAACCATGAGTCAATCCCTAACAACCCGTTTGAAGAACAGGCCAGGAGGTAGGTAGACTGGGAGTTTTGGGTTAGCAGATGCAAACTGGTATATCTAGGATGGATAAACAACAAAGTCCTACTGTATAGCACAGGGAACTATATTCAATATCCTATGATAAACCATAATGGAAAAGAATATGAAAAATAATGTATGTATGTGTATATAACTGTTGCTGTTCAGTTGCTAAGTCACATTTGACACTTTGTAACCCCATGGACTGCAGCATGCTAGGCTTCCCTGCCCTTCACTATTTCTCGGAGTTTGTTCAAACTTATGTCCATCGAGTCAATAATGCTATCCAACCATCTCATCCTCTGCTGCCCTCTTCTCCTCCTGCCTTCAGTCTTTTCCAGCATCAGTGTTTTTTCCAGTGAATCAGCTCTTCGCATCAGGTGGCCAGAGTATTGGAGTTTCAGCTTTAGCATCAGTCCTTCCAATGAGTATTTCGGGTTGATTTCCTTTAGGATTGACAGCTTTGATCTCCTTGCTGTCCAAGGGACTCTCAATAGTCTTCCCCAGCACCACAGTTCAAAGGCATCAATTCTTTGGTGCTAAGCCTTCTTTATGGTCCAACTCTCATATTGGTACATGACTACTGGAAAAACCATAGCTTTGGCTATACGGACCTTTGTCAGCAAACTGATGTCTCTGCCTTTTAATATGTGTATAACTATGGGGTTGCAAAGAGTCGGACACGACTTACCGACTGAACAACAATGATGTGTATAACTGAGTCATTTTGCTATATGGCAGTAATTAACACAACACTAGTTCAACTAGACCTCAATAAATAAATAAATGGGCCAGGAGAGCAGGCCTGGCAAAATACAGTGTTTCTGCCTGAACATGGCACCTCATCTATAGAAAAGCTCCTTCACATAGCCTGCCGAGCTGGGGCAGCCAGAGCTTTAGAGTAGGGGACCCCAGTCTCCTGGCCACGGACCGGTACCTCCTGTCATCATTAACATTAGACTAGAAATAAAAGCACAATAAATGTACTGTACTTGAATCATCCTGAAACCATCCCCACTTCATCTCCCTCCCCACACCCCCAGTCCATGGGAAAATCGTCTTCCATGAAACCAGCCCCTGGTGCCAAAGGTTGGGGACTGCTGCCCTAGAGAATTCGCAGACAGCTGACCAGACACCTGTGTGTGGGTCTTGCTCCTGCAGGACGATGCGCTTCTCATTCTGTGAATTCTTTTGGCCACTCACCCAGAGGCCCGGGTGGTGGATGAGGCCAAATGTGCTGAGGGGTGACAGCCAGGTGACAGCAGGAAAGAGGACAGATTCTGGGAGCAGACAGGCCGGGGCCTGGCGTACAGCTCTGCCCACTCCAGCTGAGGGACCTCGGGTATGTGGGGTGACCATCCTCTAAGCGGGGCCAACCAGGACAGTCTCAGCCCCTCCTAGACCCCAAAGAAGTAACGCCGGGAAATGAGAAGGGGCTCTAGGCCTCCCCACCCCGGTCTGGGACGTACCCCTTGCAGCCGTGGTTGTTGAAGTTCTGGGCGCAGTCCACCAGCTGCTGCTCAGCCTGGAGAAGGAACACATACCCGGTGAGCTATGTGTTCACTGGGAGAGCCCCCACCTCAGGGCCCCCTAAGCCGACCACACCTGCGGCCCCACCAGCTCTGGGTCAGGAGGATCAGGTTATACTCCCCCAGGGCAAGGACCATCTCTGTGTCCAAGGGGCCAGCCCAGAGCCAGCGCCTTTTGGGGAAGAGCTTAGTGATGACCTGGAAGCCAAGCCAGCATGTGAGAGGGTGAGGAGGGGCCTGAAGGGTGCACGTAGGTGGGCCCCCATGGTGCCATGTGGGAGGGAGGGGACAGGCCTTCCCTACTCCTGGGCCCTGGTGGCCCTTGCCAGTCTAGCCCTCTCTTCCCCCGCTTCCCTATGCAGGACGCCGTGGTCTGACAGTCTCCCCTTGCTCTGGGGACTCTGGAGGTGAATACACAGGTCCCTGCTCCCCCCTGCGGAAGATGACCAGCCTGGGAGGGGGTGCAGCTCCTACAGGGCTGCCTCCCAGGCAGGCTCTTCTTCCTGAAGGCCCTGGGTTCCCAGACCAAGGAACACCCAGACCCACTCAGGAATGAGCCTCAGTCCTTCCAAACTATCAGGGGAGGTTTGCACGCCAAATGTCCGTGAGACTGGACACAAAGTCCAGCTGACATGGCCACTGTCGTCTAAAGCCCTGAAGAAGCCTGAAGGCCTGGCCTGCCCCACCAAGTCAGGGCTCGGAGCCAAGCTGTGACCCCTGCAGGAGGAGACCCTGACCCCATGGCTGCCCCACATCCCACCCCGCCCCGTGGCTGGTCACTCACCAGGAAGGGCAACTTCCCTGTTGCTATGGCGACAGCAGACTCCAGGGCCCCAGTGGTGGAGAAGGTCCAGCAACTGCCGCAGCCGCCCTGGAGGTGAGAGTGGAGAAGGGGAGTCATGACCTGGTCCCCTCAGGCTCTTGAGAACCTCAGTGGACCAAGCCCCAACTCACATCTGTCCGTGCTGATCCTCACAAGCCCCAAGTGGCCGGCATCCTTCTCCCCATGTTACAGATGAGAAGACTGAGGCTTGTAAAAAAGGGGCAACAGCAGCTGTGCACTCCCCATCTGGCCCCTCGCTGACCAACCCCCACTGTCCTGCAAGGGCCGGAGTTCCTCCCGACTCCATTCTGTGCTGTTCTACATGTCCTACTTTTTTTCTTTCCTTGCACCACGAGGCACAGGAGATCTTAATTCCCCAACCAGGCATCGACCCACGCCCTCTGCAGTGGAAGTTCAGAGTCTTAACCACTGGACTGCCTGGGAAGTCCCTCTGGTTCTGAATCTCCTGCTGGTTTCTCTTCTTCCCACTGCTCCCAACAGAAGGACGCACTAAAGCCCTATTTCCAGAAACTTCTCTCTCACCTTTCCCCCTCCAACCTCACCCACAGTCCTGTTAAACTAACAACTTCCCAGACCCCACTTCAGCCCTGACCTCTGCCCAGACCCAGACCACCTGTCTCCTAGAGGACCCCAACTGTATACACCCCAGATACCATAGACCCTGTGTGTCCTGCCCCAGCCATCCATCTCCCCATCCTCTACCATGATCACGGCCACTGACCACTCTCCTGACACCTCACTGGGGCCAGGAGTCAGGTGCTGGAGCCTGCCTGCCTACTTCAGATCACAGTCATGCCCCCACCCACCATGTGAGCTGGGCAAGGGGTGTTTCTCCACCCCCCAGTTTCATCACTTGTAAAACAGGAACCACCATGCTTGCCCCACGGAACTGTCAGAAGCGCAGATAAGATGCTCCCAGTCATGCAGTTACCTCACGGGTTCAGTAACACCAGCTGCTGTTAGCATCTTTCTCTCATCCCCATCTTTGTCTCTTTTCCGCCCTTCACTGGCTCAACCGTCCATAGACTACTTCTGAAACGTCTCCTAAGATCCTTTCCTCACTGTTCTTGTCCACTCCTCCTCGCCTGTCTCCTGGAAAGAGCCTTCACTCTCCCCCCATCCCGTCTCTTCCTCTCAAATCCTTCCCTTGGCAGCGGGAGGGGAGGGCCTGATCAGAGTATCTCTGGCTGGTCAAGGAGGTGGGCTTGGCCACTGAAGAAAGAGACAGAGCGGGTCTGAGCCGCCAGCCCTGGCCTTGAGCGGAGACCCACTTGCTTTGCACCTTCAGCGTCTCCTCCTCTGTAAAGTAAGAAACTCGTGAGGCTGCTGAGCTAGTGTCAGATCCTGCCGCCACACCTGTAACCATATGGTGGCTACAGTGAGAGAACGCACACACCCACAGGGGTGACTATCTTGTTCCAGGCCCTCTGCTCAGTGGTCTCTCTCCTGCCTGATAGCTAGCTAATTACCGTCTCTCTCCTGCCTGATAGCTAGCTAATTAGAGGACCCAGAACATTCTTGGCAGACCTCTGTTTCTTCCTTGCCCAGAGGGTGAGGGGGTTCAGGCTTCCACATCGAATACCTGTTGGGCTTTGAACTGTCCTGGGATTCTCAGATGGTTTAAAAGCCACCTTGGGGTCTTGGGGGAGGGGACTGACTTCATCCTATCCCTCTGCTGGAGCAGAAGCTCGTTTTGGCTTCTTGGTTCTGGTTGAACCGTCTAGATCACTAGGCAGACTCTGGGAATCCAGGGAGCCTGGGGGCATCATGGCTGCATCACATGGGTTTCAGGAAAAAGAGAAAATGTTTCTCATGGTGAGTTTCAGTGGAAAGCCAAGTGCTACCAGGAGGGGAACCTTCACCCTGTGTTTCCTGGGAGCAAGAGGTGGGAAAGCTTCTGAAGATGGTCACTGCACTGTCGCTTCCAGGGACACCAGGCCCAGACTCTCCAGGACCCAGCAGTATGTGGGACCCTCCAGCCAGCCACCCAGCGCTCAGCTCTCAGCGCAGGACCGTGCCACCACTTGCCTTGCTGGGCATGCTGTGTCCTGCAGGAGGCGCTCTTCAGAGCACATCTGCAATGCTGGGTTCCATGCTGTTCCTTGACCACCTGCAGCTCCCTTGAGGGAGGCAGAGGGCCAGGAAGGGGCTGGACCTGGTGCCTTGTGGAGTGGATGGAGGACAGGAAGAAAAGACGTGTAGGAATGGGGTCTTGTATCCAGTTACAGAAGGGCACAGATATTTAGGGTGACTGTAGGAAACACCTAGGGTCAGTGGGGAGCTTTAGACAGTGCAGTGGAGCAGGAGGGAAGGGATACACTTCAGCCCAGAGAGGAACTACATCCATAAAAACAATGACCTCCTGGCCTTTTGGAGGAAGGTAGCTAGAGAGATAATGAAAATAATGGAGTGGGGGATATTACTCTTTGTGTTTCAGGATTCTCTTGAGTTTTTCTTCCTGGCATACTGTCTGAGAATGTGGTTGTTTTGGAGGAAAAACTGGGGACCATCACGCATACCTGATTTTTCACTGGTGTGACAAAATTTCCCTTTTTTCGCCAGTCCATGGAGGTTGGGTAGGGACCAGTACCTCGAAGGTAGTTACTTTTGGTGGCTGAGCAATTCTGAAATGACAAATTACAATTTTTTCAGGGGGGAAAAAAACCCATTTCTGATGGAAAAGTATGTAATTAAAATAGTCACAAGAGAATGAGAAAGACTATGGTTGTCAGAGCCATCCTATTGCACCCTATGAGTTCCAAATGCTAAGTGACAGGTCCTTTGGGGGGCTCAGGTTGGGGCAGTTACGACAGGGAGGGCAGATGTAGCAAATAAAAATACAGTTCACCCAGTTAAAAGTTGAATTTTAGATCAATGATGAAAAAGTTGTAATGTACATCCCATGCAATACGTTGGATATGACTTATGCAAAAATAGTATTCATTGGGACTTCTCTCGTGGTCCAGTGGTCAAGAATCTGCCTGCCAACGCAGAGGACCCAGGTTTGATCCCTGTTCCAGGAAGATCCCACATGCTCCGGAGCAACTAAGCCCAAGTGCCACAACTACTGAAACCCACGCACCTTAGAGCCTGCAACAAGAGAAGTCACTGCAAGGAGAAGGCTGTGAACCACAACCAGAGAGTAGCACCCACTCGCTGCAACCTAAGAAAGTCCCCTCAGCAAACGAAGACTCAGCACAGTGAAAAAAAAAAAAAGCCAAACAGAAAAGACTCAGATTTGGTCTCAATGAATAATACCCACCTGAGGCTCTGACCAAAGATACTTGCGTTTTAATTCAGCAAAGCTCATGTCTGAAAATTGATTCAGTCCCACTGAAAAAAGAGAAGGCAGAACAGTAAGTAATCAAACAAAAAACAAAACAAAACAGAGGTGTTCAGTAGATCACTAATAAAGAAACAGAAAAAATAATGAAATCTCATGTTCCCTCATGTCCTATTTACAGGCCCTTCAACTTGGCTCCTTTAAATTTTTAAACGGAACGGACACAGTTGAACTGTTTTAAAACAATTTTTTAAATTTATTTTTTTATTGAGGTATAGTTGATTTTACAGTTGACCCTTGAACAACATGGTTTGAACTGGGCAGATCCACTTATACGTGGATTTTTTTCCAATAGTAAATACTACAGTGCAACATGATCCCGGGTTGGTGTAAACATGGGATGCAGAATCATGGACACAGAGAAAGTGCACATATGGAGGAAATGCATATATGGAGGGCAGACAATCAGTTATACTCAGATTCTCAACTGTGCAGACAGTCGGTGCCTCTAACCCCACACTGTCAAGGGTCAACTATAATTTACTACACCAAGGTCAGCCTGACTGTGCTTTGGCATTCCCTGGGGAGCTTTGCAACAGTACCAGTGTCTGGGCTGCACCCCAGAGATGCAGACATAGTGAGCCTGGGGTGGGGCCTGGGCACCCATTTTTTAGATGCCCGGTTAGTAGGTCTGGTGAACATCTGGGTACAGAACCACCACCAGTTACCTCCTTCAGTCTTCATAACCTGGCGGGGGGTGCCTTATGATCTCCACTTGACAGTCAAGTGAAACTTCAGAGCTGTCAATGCCCCCCAGGGTTGACACAGCCAATATTAGGCAGGAAAGAGGTTCAAACTGAGGTTTCCTTCCACTTCACGCTTCTGCCCACGTTACTCACTTAGTCGACAGTGCCGTCACTTCTGAGTCCTCAATGTATGTAGCGTGTGTTTCTAGTCAAACGAACCCAGACTGAAGGCAGATGTCCTAAGGAGCTGCTCGTAAGTCCAGAAGCACTGCTCCCCTCGGTAGCCCAGGGGCTCAGTGTCTGGGCTGGACCCTCAGAAGGCAGGAACACCACAACCCTTCGGAGGGACACCCTAAAGTTACAACCCCTTGAATCTCAGAGAACAACAGCAGAGCTGGAATGTGAGGTTGGCCAAGCCCAGCTTCAGAGCCTGGGTGGCTGCTCTCCTCTTGCCCTGCTCCCAAGCCCAGCGGACCCTGTAATCATTCATTTCTTTCCAGATCTGAGCTGCTCCCTCCTCCCAGGGACAAGTGGCTTGGAGGCAAGGTGTCCCCACGTACTTTTAAATGTGTGGTTCCTGGCGTTGTGGGCGTTGATTTCCCTCAAGTTGCTGGCAAACACCTGCAGCCTGTGGTGGTATTCCTCTGAGCTGTATTTCTTTTGATGCTGAAACAAACACATCAGCAATAAGTCACGGAAACAGGACGCTGCTCACGAGAGGGTAACGGTTTTGTCTTTTAAGAGGAGGAATGGAGGTCTTCTTCCTGCCATGATTCTCAGGCCAAAACTGTATTAGAGGTGGGACACTGCCCTGGGTCTCTGCACAGCATGGGGAAGTTTATATAGGAACTCCTCTGCCTCCAGGGGCCTGTGGTCAGAATGAAGCCTATGCAGCTGCCGTAGAGTCTGTCAGGAGACCAAGGAGGCCAGGCGAATGACCTGTCACGCTTATGTCAGCCCTGGACGCCGCCACTGGCACTAGGTCAAGTTCATGGCAGATAGCACCATTTTTCAAAAATACGCACACCAGTGTTTTTCGATTGATTTTGCAGGCAGCTACACAATGTGATTTGAATACAAAAAATGTAAATGAATCTGAAGGTTTCCAAGGCTGCTAGCCAACTTCACCACTGGGGACCAAACCACTGTGGGAAGGAACTCACTTAACCAAATCTTTTTGCAGCGTTTGACTCATCCCCATGTGAGAAAGACCCAGGGGAAGGGGGCTGGTAATTCCTCCTTCATCGTCTCAAATCTAGGACAGATTGTTCTAATAACAGAAAACAGTGAAACGAGAAACTTCAGAAAGAAGTTGGACACTGACCTGCACCATCCATAACTGAAAGTGAAACTTCTCTGCAAAAAGAAGAAAAAAAAATTAGGTCTGTGTGCCTTGTGGTCACGTCTATACCCAAGTGGGGCACAAGAGAACTGATTCGCATTTTAATAAACTGGGTTAAATTTAAAGCACCAAAAATGGTGGTATATAAGGCAGAATTTGAAAAGGAACTAAATTCTTACTGCTTTTGTGCTCCAAATTAATTTTGAAAAAGTACATGCATTAACCTATGGTATTAAAAATCAGGATAATGGTAATAGTGAGGAGTCAAAGGGGGCTTGTGGGGTGCTGGTAATGTTCTGTGGCTTCATTTGGATGCCAGTTTCACGAGTATGTTTAGATGACGAAAATTCACTGAAATGCATATTTAATGATTTGTGTTCTCTTCTGTGTCATATTTTAAGAAGTTAATTTAAAAACCTATATGCCGGGATGTCCCTATTGATCCAGTGGTTAAGACTGTAGTCCCATTGCAGGGGGTTTGATCCCTGATTGGGGAACTAATCCCACATCCTGCATGGCGAGGCCAAAAATAAATACATAAAATAAAAACGAAAGGTTTGAATTTAACAGAGAGCTAGTTATTCATGATAACACAAATAAATACTTTAAAAACCCTTATATACCCTGTGTCAGCAATTTTTTAAAAAGGGACAGATGGTAAATATCATAGACTTTGCAATCTCTACAGTCTGTTACAACTACTCAACACTATCCTCGTGTATGAAAATGAAGGGGTGTGACTGTTTCAAGAAAACTTTACAAAAACAGGCTGCCTAGTTGTTTGTAGACTCTTTCTATATCCACCCTTGTACATTTTTAAATGTAAAATTGCATTTCAAATTTAAATAGCTGCAAAGGAGGTACTCCAGTTTATTGTAATTCATGACATTTAAAAATACAACTGTTCCATCGTATTCAAAGGATGCTAGCCAAAGAATTCCATATACCATCATGATGTGATACCCACTATCAGACATGAACAAGCCCTTCTATAAGAGCTGAATATTTCATACAGTTTCTTTTTCTCCTTGAACCCCCATCTCCATCCACATCTCACAGAATTTTATCCTAAGGGAGCATCTGTTTAATTTATTTTGGGGGGGCTACATTGCAGGGCATGTAGGATCTAGTTTCTTGACCAGGGATCAAACCCATGCCCCCTGCATTGGAAGTGCAGAGTCTTAACCACTAGACCACAATGGAAGTCCCAGGGAGTATCTGTTTATACTTAATTGCTCTAGTATCCTTTTATGCAGTGACAAGCACAGAAAGTATAAATTTAAATTACTGTTACTCCTGGTGACCCATATATCTCTGGATATTATAAAAGTTCATTCTGAATGAAGTCATCATCATTATTAAGACTCCAACTGATTAAAAACATGTCAAATATATTACACCTAATGAAAAGTAATTGTTAAACATAAAAAGCAAACTTGCATTGGAGAGGCATCTCTTAATGAGGTAAATTAAACTTAATTAACAATGCCCTCCCCATGGATTTATATATTCATGAGTGATCATTACCTGTTTTTCTGAATGGGTTAGCATTAAATCTGATCTTTGTCTCAGCCCTTTCAAAGGGTTGAGAAATTCTGCTTACATAAGCAGGATTGCTTATTGCTTCTGGGAACAGAAGGCAAGTTTTAGAGCAAAGTCACGCAATTTGTCCTACTCCTTTCTACACCCTCACATCACATGGCACTCTACTACTAAACATTATTTCTAGGACCCCAGCAGCTGACACTTGGAAGTAAAGGGTATGGAAATGGATTTACTGTCTGTACTGGTATCACTTGGTACTTTTCTGTGTTCCTCTACTGGTCCACAGGCTTCCCAGGTGGTGCAGTGGTAAAGAATCCATCTGCCAATGTAGGAGACACAGGCTTGATCTCTGGGTCAGAAAGATCCACTCAAGGAGGAAATGGCAGCCCACTCAAGTATTTTTGCCTGGAGAATCCCATAGACAGAGTAGCCAGGTGGGCTATCATCCATGGGGTCACAAAGAATTGGACACAACTGAGCACACACATGTGTGCCACCAATTCACACCCTGCAGTTGGAAGATCACAGTTGTGTGGAATTTAGCTCTCCCCTGTGGGTCATAGATCTGTTCCAGAAACCAAGTGACAGCCATTTTTCCTGAGAAAGAAATGCACATTTCTCCAGGATATGCCCTGCGTGGGGTTTAGAGGACTGCAAATCTTGGTTAGCCATTATAGCTGATGGCTTCAGAAGTGAAAAAGTGAAGTGAAAGTTGCTCAGTTGTGTCTGACTCTTTGCAACCCCATGTACTGCAGCCTGCCACGCTCCTGTGTCTGTGGATTCCCCAGGCAAGAATACTGGAGTGGATTGCCATTCCCTTCTCCAGGGGATCTTCCCAACCCAGGAATCAAATCCAGGTCTCTTGTATTAGCAAGCAGACTCCTTACCATCTGAGCCGCCAGGGAAGCCTGATGGCTTTAGAGGAAGACAGGTCTCAGCTTAGGACCAGGGCTTGAGACAGATGGAGTTTAGGACAACTGACCAATGTTTGCCTGCAGAGGTTTCAAAAGCTACAAACAGGTGTGAAAATCCAGCACTACTTCTCTTTCGTTGGAGGTCAGAGGGAGAAAAAGCCAGAGGTGGTCTTGGGGTGGGGCCAGAAGGACATCTGGTGATCCTTGCACACTAAACTCAGACCCATTTCAGTCCATTGTGACTTTTGGAAGAAAGCACACATCCTTTCTTTATGTGCTGTTTCGGGGAGCACATGGTACTATCTAGAACAGGGGTTAGCAAACTCTGACCTGCCACTTGTTTTTGTATGGTCCATGAGCTAAGAATGTTCACGTTTAAAAATTTTTTTGAAAACCACATTGTGTAGCACTTTAAAGTCATCTGAATTCAAACTTCAGTGTGTCTAAGTAAAAGTTTCTGGGAGCACAACCGGCTCATTCATTTACATACCGCCTTTGGTTGCTTTCAGCACAGAATTAAGCAGCTGATACAGAAGACTGTGGTCCACAAATAGCCTAAAATATTTACTATCTGGCCATTCACAGGAGAAGCATGCCAAACCCTACTCTGGAAGAACGGCTTCCAGCACCAGCCCTCCTCCTCCACGCAGGCCACACGGCCTTGGTTTGCAGGCAACTGGGTTTCTTTAAGTTGGGACAGAACTGAGCTGGGCGTCCTCCCGGGTCTGCAAGACTGGGGGGCTTCCTTGTATCAGTGGGTCTGGAGGAATGAGGCAAGATTCTAGTGGAAAAGATTCAGCCTCAGGGATCTTTGTCCTATCCCCAGGCTGCTCTTTGGCTACAATTCTTTGTCCTCAGGGTGAGGATGCAGGTGGTCTTGGAAGGTCAGAGCCTGTGGGTGGTGGGTTGAGGCTGAGGGTGGTGGGCAGCGGGCAAGGTAGGAGGGCCTTCGGGAGAGCCTTTAGCTTGGGGAGGTGGCTGGATCTGCAGCAACAGAACGAGGTTAAGAGCAGCAGGAAGCTGGACTACTCAGCTTCCTGAGTGGAAGCCCTGGGGCTGTACAGGGGAGCCCTGGGGCTTGACCTTGGGTCCTTGGAACAAACAGCCTCAGTTTTCAGGGGCTAAATCTGCTATGGCTCTGCACAGTCATTCCTTGAAAGGGCAGGTCCAACCTATCCACAGGCTCTCAAGGCACCTCTGTCCCCCCCTGGGGACGTCCCCTGTGCCCAGTCCCTGGGAGCTGCCAGAAAAGGCTGGAAAGTCCCTGCTAGCTTCTGGCAGGGGCAGATCCGGGTCCTCTGAGTCTCCAGGTACGGGGTGGAGAGCAGAAGGGGCCACTGGGGCGTTTCCTCTCAGCACCCTGAGCAAGGGGGGCCCCCGGGCATCTATCCATCTATCCATCGGCTCCTCGGGTCCCGCAAGACGCTCACCCTCCAAACCTCCCCCTTCTCCAGCCTACATTCCCCACCCATCACAGAGGCCACCGTTCCTGGACTCCGGTCCCGACCCACAGAGCCCCAGGGCCTCGGGCCTGGGACGTGCGCTGCCCGGCTCCTCCCAAGCGCGGAGTCCCTACCCGCCCAAGTTCTCCAGAGTTTCCGACCTGCCGACTCTTCTCCGCAGGCACCCCGTCCCCGTCCCCGGAGTCCCCGTACCTAAAGAGCTCACGGCCAGCTCGGCGGCGCCGCAAGCGGGGGTGCCCAGGAGCCAGGCTCCCGCGCAGAGCAGCGGCAGGACGGCCCACATGGCGGCGGCTGTGAAGGTTCGGCCGGCGCACTGGCTTGGAGGGCAGCGGGGCAGGCGGCCAAAAAGTGCTCGGGACAGCGGGAGGGGCGGGGCCGGGCGGCCGGCGGGGCGGGAGGAGGGGGAGGGAGGGGGATGGGAGGAGGAGAGGAAGCGGGGGAGGAGGAGGGGGGAGGGGTGGGGGTGAAAACAACCCGGGAACCCTTGCTCCTGAGAGATGGTGGCCTTCGACTTCCCTTGGACTCAGTCGCCTCCTTCTTACCCTCTTCTCATCGTCCACCTCTCCTCCAGGGACATCACTCCCCTTTCTTCTCCTCTGCAAGGAAGAGCGAGTTGGACCACTCAGCCTGCAGAGGTCCTGCCCATCTGCTTATCTGCCAGGACTGGCCGGATGGGCCCGGGTGGTGCCTGTCCTCAGCCCAGATTCCCCATATCCCGACCTCTCCTCACGCCAGGGCTCCCATCTCCCACCCTCATTATTCACCTTACCCTGATGGGCCCTTCAGACTTGGGATGAACTCAAACTAGAGCAGTTTGACCGCTGTTTTTATGACTTTGTTCCAAACCTGCAAGCCCCTCCCCCAGGGAGTTTTAGTCTTTCTGTCGAGAAAGTCATATTAGCAGCTGTAGGGCCATTTTCTCTATTCTGCAAATCTGAAAAAAAAAAACAAGAATAGGATGTGTAAGATTCCAGGTGTGACAACAAAGGAAACTATAAGCAAGGTGAAAAGACAGCCCTCAGATTGGGAGAAAATAATAGCAAATGAAGCAACAGACAAAGGATTAATCTCAAAAATATGCAAGCAACTTCTGAAGCTCAATTCCAGAAAAATAAATGACCCAATCAAAAAATGGGCCAAAGAACTAAACAGACCTTTCTCCAAAGAAGACATACAGATGGCTAACAAACACATGAAAAGATGCTCAACATCACTCATTATCAGAGAAATGCAAATCAAAACTACAATGAGGTACCATTACATGCCAGTCAGGATGGCTGCTATCCAAAAGTCTACAAGCAATAAATGCTGGAGAGGGTGTGGAGAAAAGGGAACCCTCTTACACTGTTGGTGGGAATGCAAACTAGTACAGCCACTATGGAGAACAGTGTGGAGATTTCTTAAAAAACTGGAAATAGAACTGCCATATGACCCAGCAATCCCACTTCTGGGCATACACCCTGAGGAAACCAGATCTGAAAGAGACACGTGCACCCCAATGTTCATCGCAGCACTGTTTATAATAGCCAGACATGGAAGCAACCTAGATGCCCATCAGCAAATGAATGGATAAGGAAGCTGTGGTACATATACACAATGGAATATTACTCAGACATTAAAAAGAATTCATTTGAATCAGTTCTAATGAGATGGATGAAACTGGAGCCCATTATACAGAGTGAAGTAAGCCAGAAAGATAAAGAACATTACAGCATACTAACACGTATATATGGAATTTAGAAAGATGGTTATGATAACCCTATATGCAAAACAGAAAAAGAGACACAGATGTACAGAACAGATTTTGGACTCTGGGAGAAGGTGAGGGTTGGATGTTTTGAGAGAACAGCATGTATATTATCTATAGTGAAGCAGATCACCAGCCCAGGTGGGATGCATGAGACAAGTACTCGGGCCTGGTGCACTGGGAACACCCAGAGGAATCGGGTGGAGAGGGAGGTGGGAGGGGGGATTGGGATGGGGAATACATGTAACTCCATGGCTGATTCATGTCAATGTATGACAAAACCCACTGCAATGTTGTGAAGTAATTAGCCTCCAACTAATAAAAATAAATGAAAAAAAAAAAAAGAGTCCAGGTGTGAGATAAATAGAACAGGGAACATTTCCAACTAAGGCAGTGTGCTCAGGGATTGACTGCTTCAAGGGAGAGGAGAGGGCAGTTAGACCTGCCTGCAGCAACCTGTCAAGTACCCAGTGGGGCCATGTTGTTCACTTACATCATCACCTTGCCAAGGGGCAGGTTGTTGCCCTTCCATCTTACAGATGGGGAAACTGAGGCTCCAAGCATTGATGCTAATATTGCCAGTAAGTGTGCTTCCCAGTACCACGATTGCTCACTCTGCTCTTCTGGAGGCCTAGGCATTTGGTCCGGCAGAGCCTGTTGGCCCTGGCCCATCAAACCTGAGCCCTCTCCCCGCCTCAGACAGGAGGAAACCTCCATCTCTGCCTGACTCTGCCTGTGCGGCCCCCCGGGGGAGCAGATTCCTTTAATTCTGTCCTGGATTTGACCTGTATGGGTACAGCCCGCGAATTTGCACTTACAGGGCCTCATGGTGGTCACTCAGTGCCTCTGGGTGGACACTGAATCTGCATGAAGATTAGCAGTGCCATAGGACACTGTCTTTTCAGATAAAGCAGATCTTTATCAGTTTATAAATCAGCCCTTGTCTGGATGCCCCTTGGGCATCCCCTTGGGTATGCTTTAAGGCAACTGTCTGAGGAATGACCCTGCATGGTTGCTGCTACTTGGAAATTCAAGCCCCTGGCCTTGGGATAAACCTGGCCAGTCTCTGCAAGGTTCTATCCTTCAGCTGTGCAGGAACTGCTCCTCTTTCTGTCCATCCAAGCCACCCAGAGAGTGGCAGGGCTGAGGGCCTTAAAATTAGACTTCGGACCCCAAACTTGTTCCCTGTGCCGGGTCCCCAGTGACCCTCCTTGGTGGATCATTCGGGAAGGCCCGAAACACGAACAGCACTGGCCTGATCAGTTTTAGAGTCATGTTTGGTTCTAGTCCTGTCACACATTCACTGTATGACCTAAACTGGTAGTTCTCTCACATGAGGTTTCAGATTCCTCATCTGTGAAATGGGGGTAGGTGTGCTGCCTTCCACAGTGGTTAAATACAGGTTTACACTTTGTGTGTGTGTTCAGTCACTAAGTCATGTCTAATTCTTTGCAATCCCATGGACTGCAGCATACCAGGCTTCCCTGTCCTTCACTCCTCCTGGAGTTTGCTCAAACTCCTGTCCATTGAGTGGGTGATGTCATCCAACCATCTCAACCTCTGTTGCCCCCTTCTCCTCCTGTCCCCAATCCTTCCCAGCATTAGGATCTTTTCCAATGAGTTGGCTCTTCGCATCAGGTGGCCAAAGTATTGGAGTTTCAGCTTCAGCATCAGTCCTTCCAGTGAATATCAGGGTTGATTTCCTTTAGGATGGACTGGTTTGATCTCCTTGCTGTCCAAGGGATTCTCAAGAGTCTTCTCTAGCACCACAGTTTGAAAGCATCAATTCTTCAGCGCTCAGCCTTTTTACAGACCAACTGTCACATCCGTATGCTTTAGTTATAGGTGAAGCACTGGCCTCAGACGTGGCACTGTAATAGTGATTCACCCAGATGTGGGCTCAGTTTTGGGTTCTGTCTCTGTCCCTCGCTGCCTGCACCTGCTTGCATGGTGAGTTCATCGGCTCCTCTGGCTCCGGCTGGGCATCACCTCTGCGCGGGCTTCTCTGCAGTCCTGGTTCGCTGTGCTCCTACAGAGGGAGGTTGAGGACTGGTGCTGGCAACAGAGCCCTGAGCCAGGGGTGGCAGGCAGAATTCTAGTTTCTGTGCCTTGGTTATTTGATCAAACATGATCTACACAGAGCTGGGAAGGGACTTTGCAGGTGGAATGAAGGCTTCCAATCAGCTGACTTTGAAAGATTATCCTGGATTAGCTGAAGAGCCCTGATGTAATCATGGGGTCCTTTCAAGCAGCAGACGAAAGCAGAAGGGTCAGAGGAAGGAGGCAGGGGGAGGTCAGAGAACTTCGAACCATGAAAAAGACTCTACTGTGACAACCTAGTGGAGAAGGAAACAACCCACTCCAGTGTTCTTGCCTGGAGAATCCCAGGGACAGAGGAGCCTGGTGGGCTGCCATCTGTGGGGTCGCACAGAGTCGGACATGACTGAAGCGACTTAGCAGTAGCAGCAGTGACAACCTAGAGGAGTGGGAAGGGGTGGGAGGTGGGAGAGAGGTTCAAGATGGAGGGGACATGCACATACCTATGATTGATTCATGTTGATGTATAGCAGAAGCCAACACAATATTGTAAAGCAATTATCCTCCCATTAAAACCAAATAAATTTAAATTAAATTATAAAAAAAAGAAAGACCGTCCCTGCCATTGCTGACTTTGATGGGGGCCATGAGCCAATGAAGGTGATTGGCCTCTAGGAGCTGAGAATGACCCCAGTGCACAACCAGTAAGGAAATGGAGACCTTGGTCCAGCAATCATGTGGAGCTGAATTCTGCCAATGACCTGAATAAACTTGGAAGCAGATTCATCTCCACCGCTTCCACTGGAAAAGAAGGCAGCCTCACTGATCCGTTGCTTTCAGCTGTGTGAGACCTGGAGAGTAACTGGCCAAAGTCACGTGGTTGACTTAAAAAAAAAAAGCACAATATGAGAATTGTGAGTTAAGCTTAATTGGGGTCTGGGAATCAGCACCTCAGATAGCTCTGAGAAACTGCTCCAAAGAGGCAGCGGGGGGAAGGTCAATATAAACATGATTTTGGGGAAGGGGGAGTATGTGCAATCAAGCATATATTTTTCTGCTAGTCATGGGGAGCAGATATCACCATGAAGGAATTTACTGCTTTTCTAAATATGAGGAGACACAAGAATTGAGCTTATCAAAATGGCTCCTGAAAATAATTAACTATCTAAAGACCTGTCCTGCCAGTTTCCACCCTCCACCCCCAAGTACAGCGTGCCTCATTTCTGCTCTCCACCCTGAATGCCTTTCCGGGGGTGTGGAAGGTCAGCAGCTGCAGAAACACATGATTTAATCCTTGTAGAGGTGGATGGCAAGTACCAATTTGTAGCTGACAATGTGGACTTCTCTACATGTGAGGTCATAAATTTGCATTGTTTTAAGTGCCTACATTTGTGGTGATCTTGTGCACAGCATCCGGAAACTAGTATAGCAGGTGACATGCCCAGACTGACTGGTGCCTCTGGGGACAGAGGGCTGGGCGTGTGTGGTCTCAGGTTCCG